CAACTAATGCATCGACAGTTAACATTTAGTAGTCGATCGAAAAAACGAAAGAAACTGTTTTAAAACGTTTTGTTTTGTTTTTATTTTCAATTAATTTCTGTGATTTGTTATTAAATTTAAAAAACGTAACATAACTTTATAATTCTCTCAGTTCGTTCAACAAGTTTGTTTCCGACGACGGATTTTCCGGTGATATATTCGCGCGATCGTAGTTTTTTTTTTTTTTTTTTTTCTCAGTCGTTACATACCGATTAAAAACTTTTCTCAACCGATGCGTGACCTTATATACGAGGATATAAAAGACGGATTTTACGCGAACGACCGAGCGTGTCCCATACGGTATTAGTATTCCAGCGGGTGTGCGTGCCTGTGTTGTACGGTGCTAGTACCTGGCGAAGATACGTACGTGGACGGCGTGCCAGTGCGTAAAGGCACGGCTGTGCGTACATACATCGCTTGACGCGTGACTCGTTGCGTGTATAATTCGGCCCTAAAGGTCGGCGAGCGGTACAAAAGCGTTCTCTTGATACTTTACGTAAAACCGGCGACACCGTCTCTCTTACGAATTTTTACCTCGAACTAGAGAAACACAATCCCGAGACAAGTAATTGGAAATTACTTTTAACGAAGACGCAAAAGTGGATCGGGCATCAATTGTTTTTCACGTTTAATTTCATTGCAACAAAGATATGGAAAAGAAGTAAAAAAAGCTTTGTATGTTGACAAAATTAATTAACGTCAATCACGCGAATTATTATTTCGAAAACGACTCGTTAACGTAATATTACTCTAAGTAGAGATAGCGGAGGAATTTTGTAAAGATGAGTCTCGCAAAATGTTTTTAGACATCTAATTTATTTCCTATAATGAACCGAATAACTAAATTGTATAAGAAAACAAACCGCACGGAGACGTAAATAAACCCGGTACCTACAGTTTTATCCTCGTTTTCGTTTGCTGCGCTTCAAGATCGATCGCCGCGAGACCGGAAGGACTTTATTCATTAGTGTGATAACGCGACGCATTCGCGTCGCAAAGTTTCCGCGCCGGAATACGTCTTGCCGCGCGAGAATCCAGTTTATTTCGCAATAAATTTCTCGTTCTTTGCCGGAGTTCGTTGCGGCGGAGGCGTTTATATACGCGACGCTCAATGTGATTTGCGCCCCGTGTCGGTCCTAAAGGTCGAAGAAGAAAGAAATGCACATACACAGCGCGCGCGCACGCTCCTTGTGCAACGGTCCTTTCTCGATTTACAGATGTCCGCGAGGATTTCTGCCCCTACGGCAATATCCGCGACGCGTATATTATTTGCTGGAGAGAGAGAGAGAGAGAAAGAGAGATCCGAGATCGCACGATAGTACACGGTTGGGGCTTCCTTGATGCAGAAACGCGCTAATATCAGCGCCCGAATTTATCATAATGTGAGGTTGCGATAAACTGAAGAAAAAGAAAGAGAGAGAGAGAGAGAAATCGTGAGAACAGATAATTTTCCTAAAGACGCGTCATTAACAATAATCGTGTGATCGATAGCGAAACCTTTTCAGTCAAGGAATACGTTGCGCAGAAGAGGATGTGTTTTCGCATCCCAAGCGCGCGTTACGAAAGCGGGAATCCCGTGACGTGAAAATTTGATTGTTTTTTCATTCGGAAGATTAAACGCAGAGATTACGCTTATAAACTCAGAGATTACATCAAATTTTATGATTTTATTTTTGTGTCACACTTGTGTCGCCGATATGGTATCTTTGAAGGAGTTAATCGAGCGGAGTAAAGCGTGAAAGATTTTTGTGAGACATTCTTTGTTTTTTTTGCAACGGTTCTTAATTTGTAATAAAAAATTAGTTTTGTCATTTGAACAGGAATTCTCCTTCAGGAATTAGACGAATAACATATTCGATTTTTGCGAGATACATTCTCATTCGTTGCGTACTTAATCCTCTAAAGATAGAAAGGAAGCAAATCACTCTGCGAGTGTGTACATCCGTTCTAATCGGATTCACGGCCGAACTTAATTCTAAATACGCGCGTCCGATAATCTGGAAAGACACTCTTGCAATTAAAACTTAACGTTTTTTTGTTTGTAGTAGATATTCTATTTTTATTTTATATACTTTGCTATTTTTTATATATATTTTATCTTGCAATTTATCGACGAAATATTAAAAACCTCTTGAATGTGATATTTTCTCGCTGCGAGAACGCGAGACTTACAACGCGAAGTGACGTTTCGAACGAAAACAGCGATAAATTGGATCCGCGGAAATCCAATTGTCCAGAATCCAGAATGTTACATCTCGAAATACTCCAATCGATAACAAACAGTTTATTTTTGAATTCTGCTCTCGGTGAACGTGTGTAATAATTCGATGTAAAATTTCACATTTAGCACGCAAAGATGTCAAATCGATATTCGTGATTTCAATAAATTTATCGATCGTCGGTTTATTATACAGAGATGTGTGTGTGTGTGTGTGTTATTAAAATTTAAATTACAAAATATCTATTATTCAAAATATATCGAAAATAAACAATACTTTTTCAAAAATAACTTCGAGTGCTTTGTTAATACGATAAGATAAGCAACTGAGACGCGACTCGGAGAGAGAATTGCGCACGACTTTAAGCACAGGCCAGGAATGAACGATCGAACGAACGTACAAACGAACGTGCAATCCTGCAATTACGCGTTGACGCAATCCCAAGTCGAGTGGTGCGAGGGGCGCAGCAGTCCCGGATTCGCTTTCTCTCATCTTCCACACGGATCGGCTCGGAATGCTGGATTTATCGAACGGGGACGGAACCGAGAAGGGACCTTGATCCTTTCCCGCGACACCGCGGGACTTGGTCTCCTCACCGTTTTCCTTCCCTTTCTCCTGTCCTTTTTTTTTCTGCCTTGTCATTGAAAGTGCACGATATGATGTGCGCCGCCTGCGTGATCTGCGTCTTCCGAGCGCCTCGCTGTGTTATATAATATAGCGTTAACAATAAAGTTCCCGTTCGCCACAGTCGGGCGAATTGCGGCGAATCTTCGGAACGCATACAAGATATATACGCGCGACGTGCTCGTTTTTGCGGTCGCGCGCGACTCGCAGCACATTCATGAGGACGCCGAAAAAAAAAAAAAAAAAAAAAAGAGAACACACTGCGCAAAACCGCACTTCCGGCGAAACGTATGTTTTACGTCTTGTTCGTGGTATGCCCGTTTTTCTGAAAGAAGGGAGTCGGGCAGAGCGGAGAGTGTCAAACGATCAGTTTCGCGTAATCGGTACTTGAATATGAAGTTACGAGACGATTTCTATCGAAAAAGAAAAAAAAGATCGTATCTTTTCTACATATGTATAATAGTTGGTATCCTGGAGGCTTTTCTTCAAATTTTATCTCTCCTTTCATCTCACTTCTATCTGTTAAAAGGGACTATAATATTTTTCATATGAAAGAGAAGGTATATACATGTCAAAAATCTTATTTTTACGGCAGATCCATTTTTCTTCCGCGCGTGAGGGTGGGCCCGGGAAACGTCGCAGAACACGAGGCCGTGTACGCAGGTTTGTCGTAACAGGCACGTCGAACGTATACCGGATGGATCGCCCCGTGTTCCAAGTATTACAAGAGCGATCTTCTGCGTGTCAAGAATGTCGATGCGGAAAGAGAGTCCGCTCGCAGAAGGCACGTCTTCTTCGTCCCGCGCGACGACTCTTGACGTCGATCCGCGTGCGCCATCTCCTCGCGTGTCTCCTCGACATCGCCGTGTGCCAGGGTGTGGCGCCAACTCGGAGAAACGACCTTAGGCGCGACCTCATCCGACAAAAGCCGCGTCGATCGCGCTCATTTCGGTGTAAAGCGCGGGATAAAAGATTGTTATTAATCAAATTACTGTAAGCGCGCACTGAGTACCAATACGCAGTAATACATTGAAATATATCATTGACATTCTTGAAGTCTTTCTTCATTTAAATATTTAAATATAATGAGCATGTTTTTCAAACACATATTTGTTAAACAAAATTTTCATTAAAAAACAACATGCGACTCTTCTATTAAAAAATTTTTATAAAAATAATCGCAAGATTTAACTAAAACAATTCTCTGTAATTGTAATTTTCTCTAACAAATTATTTTAATAAAAACAAATATTTGTGTGTGATTACTGATTTTTGCTCAAACTGACAATTGAGATAGTTTGATTATCATCCTGTTGCTACATCCCGGAATATTTCGGAGCACGTATCGCTTGCGTGGGCGATCGAGAGCAACGTCGGAGCTCGCACGGCGAGTAGACGAGTTTACAATCGCTCCACAACAACCGGTGTCCTGTAAGTGTATCGTCGAGAGTACGTAACAGGAAGTAACGCGGCGCGAATATTAACGAGCGTGTGCGCGGGTCGTGCGCGCACAACGAAAGCGTTTACGGCTCGTTCTCCGCGCCTTCGCGCGTTTTGCAATAAGCGCGTACTGCAGTGCGCACGATGTTTTCGCATCGCGTCGGCCTCTCCACGGCGTTTTATGAAACCTGATGCGAACAACGCGCGCAATACGCGTGTGTGCCCCGCATTCCCAAGTCAAACACTTCGAAAGCTTTAACAGTTAGAAAATGAAAAAAACAAGGAAAATTTTGCGTTGCAGTCAAAACGGTGATAATAAATTGCAGTCTACACAGACTTTCAACATTATCATTTTTTAAAGAAATTTTTAAGAGTGGATTTTGTGATTTTAAAATTTGGAAAAATGTACGCAATTAATGTTCTACAAACGACAAAATAATATATAATTGTATTTGTGTACATAAAATTTTATAACAAGAGATAGTGTTTCTGTGTTTACAATACATATTACAAGTGTCTAACAAACATTTGTTGCTCATAAGAAATTATAAATTTAATCTCATGTTATCTACTTCTAATCATATCATCTAAATTGTCTAATTTACACAAGACAATAAAAACAGAAATCATACATACAAGTTAAGATTATGTGTTAAAAGAGAAGACATAGTAAACATATCAATAGTCACCTTGATTTCGCATTATTTATGAAATTTCTACATGTTGTGAATTTGTGCTCGCTTAAGCAGTTTGTTTCTCAACTGCGCTTAAACTTATTTTGAAAAGGTGGTAAGTCGAAAATCCTAGCTGTGCCAAGAAGTACCAATGCTGAAAAATTGAATTTATCACATGTGTTAAACATATCAAACGCATCAAGTAGAATTATATTTATTCGTTAAAGTTCAATTTTTTTGCAAAATACAAAGTGTCAGGCAAACATACCAGATGCAATCGAATACATCGCTGCTTTTTTAACTTGATTTTGATACTGTTTGGAATGATGACAGACGTATAAACCAGCAGCGACGAGACCGCTGCCACTTAGCAGTCTGCATTCGAAACAATCGCGATTTCTGTTGCTAATTATACTGTTTACCGTCTGTACGTTTGACATATTTCGATGCTCAAGTTCAGACAAAGGTTTACAACAGTATATTCCTGGATAACGTCCGCAGAAGCGTGACTCTTTTAGAGGTTAGAAAAGCAATCACACAATCTGACACAAGCCGCCAAATCCACTGTCATCGATTGTTTTAATCATTGATCACATGATACAAGCAGAAACGAAACCTCATGATTATATTCGCGCCCGAAGTCACTAAACTTCGAAGTAATTTTTGATTTGTCTATCGCAGCACCATTATTGGGTGCGTTCAGACAACTCAACAATTGCGCAACGGTTGAGAGATAATCGCTTATGATTGGATCATACTTTTGGAACCGTAGCAGGTTTCGAAGAATAATCCTATAACAAGGAATGATCTCTCAACCGTTGAGTTTTCTGAACGTAACCATTGTTATTTTTTCAGTCGATCAAAGATGCGTTCCATTAAGCCCGTTCTACATTGATCGCAAGCGCAAACGCAAGGTATAGATCTCGTAGAATTGACCAATCACGCTCGTCAATTGGCTGATTTGATCAATACGATTAGTCAATTCTACCAGACCCGGTCCTTGCGTTTGCGCTTGCGATCAATGTAGAACGGGCTTTACGTTTACGCAAATCTCGCCGCATGGGCTGCGGTCCGTGTCATACTTAAGCTCACATTTATCTATAGTATACGTGACATATGCTACAGATAAATGCGCGATTAAGCATGAAACGGACCGCAGCCATGTAAAGGCAGCCTCAGTCTTCTCCCTACTGGGGTATGTTCCAAAATCTTACCTTGGAAACCGAAAACTATAGTACACGTGACGTAAAATATATCATTTTAGTAACCAAAGTAGGATTTTGGAACGTACCCCTGCTGAGTGATTTTCGTCTGCTTTCTACGAAGGTTGGTGACTCCTTCCTAGTCGGTGACGTTATTTTTGTCTAACTAACCTCTTTCGGTTTTTGACGGAAACTTTTCCAACACATAAACATCAAAAACATTGAAACTTATCTTTGAAGAAAACTAAACAAGATATAAATATGCTACAATTTCCGAAAATATTTGTGAATCACGTGAAATTGTTGGCGAGACCTATTTTACTGATCGCACCAGATCACTTGTCACAACAAACTCGGGTATAATATAAAACTTTTAATATTATAAATACAACAGTTTTTATTTATTCTACATTCTTTATTTTCAAAAGTACTTCAGTAGTTTTTTTTTGCACATATTTTATACTAAAGTTGTATTTTTATATCATTTAATGTATATGTATATATTTTTACAGAATACCTTTATTCTCAAAAGAAGACATCCAGTTCCTCTTTACAAAAAAAATAGTAAACCCCATCGTTTTAAAACAAGACATTTTATATATGATCTTGTCGAAGATGCAAATATAAGAAGGAAAAAACCGCTCGATTTGATTCTGACGCAGTATGTGTCAGGACTTGGTAATGCAGGTACTAGGATAAAAATGCATCCGAACCAAGCGTATGCAGAACTCTTATTGCCTAAATTAGCAGAGTATGCTACTCCCGAAAATATTGAGAAATACTCTAAATTATTGGATCAACAGGATGCACCATTTAGTTCTTCTACTGTGGAACAAACAATGAAATACTTATCGCAAAAGCGAATAACAATGATAATGTCACAGGACGTACCATGGACGTTAGAAAAATGGCATGTAAGAGTAAGCTTTCGAAAAGCTGGTATTTTAGTACCGGAAGATAACATAACATTGCCTGAGAAACCGATATCTGGGCCAAATATGGATATAGAGGGAAAGGAGTTCTACATAACTCTCACAATTAATAATTGCGAGCAAGTGAAAGTGAGATGTAACATACATCATTGGACACCAGACAAGTCTAAACAAGTATACGTTGAAGAGTTTTATAAACTGCCAAACGAGCCAATGTTTCCCGAGGATAAACCAATTTTGGATTCTCTTCCTCCATTTTGGATAGAGAAACCACGGATAATATAATATTGTATATATTGTGCTAAAAAATACACGTAAAATAAATGCTTTTAACGAATATACATAAAAATTTATTTCATTTCTCTTAGAAAATTTTTATAATTTATTCTTATTTCATTTCTTGCTTAATTTATTAGAAGAAAACATTATTTTTCAAAAAACTACAAATAAATGTCTGTGTTATCGAAATTCTAAATAATAATAATAATAAACTTAAAATATATATGCATTTAAAATATATGTGCATTTAACTATAGTGTAACTAGTCAAATTATTGATTTTAGAAAGAGAAAGTGGGGAACGAGGCTAAGACAGTTACTATCTATCTAGAATCAATAAAGCATAAATTTGATTCTGTTTTACCTTCACTATACATTAAATTTAGTTAAGACAAGGAACATGCCAAGTTCTACAAATTGTTAACCTGGAAATCTATAATGAATAATAAAAGAACATATTTGTTATCATAACAATGCAAAATAGATATGGGTGAAAGGCACTTTGTATGGGATGAAGTGTATGAAGGAATAGTTCTGTCAAGGTAAAAAATATTACCTCTTTTTAGAAGACATAATAAAAAATGTTATATATAATTATTTTTATATAATGACTTGTGTTAAATCAGTACAACAAAAGCGGAAGATGACCAAGCTAAAGGACGAAAGAAGGAAGACGTCACCGTTCCTACGGAGACAATTTATTTTCCGCATGCATATTTAAGTTTGAGTTATCGGGAAACGCTGAGTGAGAGTGCAAAGGTGAAAGACCAAGTATAGTAAAGGCTGAAAAATGTGTTTAAATTCTTTACTATAATTAATATATGTAGTATATTGAAAAAAGCTGCGCATTACATTTACAGATCAGATTTCGAAGACATTACCTGAGAAAAGTCGCGCCGAATGAGCCTGACGTTATTATATTGCAAGACATCAAAGATCTCGTCCTTTATCTGCTCGCAACGCCCGTCAGTCCCCAGTTCGTAAACTTCCTTCACTTGACGATTGTCGATCGATTCTTAAGAGCGTTGATCATCTACTTCCAACACTATACGGAAATATGGGAAGACTTGATGCAGGAGCAGGCCGCCACCATGAAGAAGGCACCAAATCCGCTGGCACGTGGACACAGATTTCGATATGCCGAACAGATGCGAGGTCTTCGCTGTCTTGTAGGTCGGGAATACGTGGATCTGATAATGGGCTGCCAGGAAGGGTCGCAATATCACCACATGATGAACACCAAGTCGGTCACGGAATCTCAGGGCGAGAAAGACTTGCGAATCTTCGAGGCTCTGATAAGCGTGGCTCATCGCGTTGTATGGATAGCGTTAAAACGCAAACATTACAATCTGATCGGTACGCTATTTATACAAGAGTTATATGTACAATATAAGTTTCTTCGGAAGGACAGTAATTGTTACAATGATCGCAATTGTGTGTACGTTTTGCAGAACTAGAGGTGCACAGACTATTCCGAACGGAAGCGTATAACACCGCGCAAAGACAAAGCGGTAGTCAAATTATTCAGGATATGTTGGAAGACGATATCCGCGTGCTACATGGTCCTAAAATGACATTGAAAAGTCGATTACTCAGAAACTCCCCTTTACCTCAGGAACTGATATACTCGGATTGCGACTACCGTTTTCTATCTTTAGGTGCGTGATATTTCTCTCTTTCTTTTTTTCTATTGTGCTAACACTATTCAAATCATATAGTTTACTTCACAAGAAGATACACTGTAGCAAAAATACTTATTTTTACTTAAAGGAGTAACGGACATCGAAGTGTACCATCCGACACTTGTTTATCTAAAAAACGCTCTTCACATTGAGGAGGAAAGGTTGTCGAAATTGGGAATCAAAGCAGGCATACTGGGTCACAATCGCTCGGATTACGATATAATGTTAATGCCGGTTGAACCGGAAGAGCCGAAGGAAGTTACTGTTGATAAAAAAGTGGAAGAACCACTACTACGCAGATTTTCTATGGATATAGCTGTAATGGTAAGAACGCGGTTTTGTTATTCTACAGGACTTTAGAAAATTAAACTCCTAACTAGATACAGAAGTGTCGAATGTGTTTGTTTTCGCATTGTGAAGAAACAAGTTCGAGATGTCAAGAGATTAACTATTCCCGATATTGAGGAAGAATTGCCCGAGGAATTCCCGATGAAAGAGATTGAAGTTGAGATATCAAACAAGAGATACGATAAAGTTCGCGAAGAAGCGCGAAAAAAATGGATTCGTCGAGAAATAAAAAGGCGTAAGCGACACAAACAACTGGACACGTACTCTGAAGCAACAACTATAGATTGAGTTTCAAAAACACATTAGGTGTGTGTACATGTACAAAAATAAAATAATATAAATTAATTAAATCTAAAATAAAAACAAGAGTAAAAAAGCCACATGTATAAAATATATGACGTGTAGAAAATGTCAAAAGAAAATAACAAAAAAACAATACTTATATTAAATACTGACACAAGATATATAAATTGAAAAATTGTCAATTTTCTCCCTAAAAATAAGAATAAAAATTACAAATACATATTTTTCTACATTATATCTTTCTCTACATGATAATCTTCCGATGTGTACAAGTCATAACGCTGAAAAATAAAAAAGTCTAATGTGATTTTTCAAGTATTAACACAAAGCAATCGTTACAAGGATGAATGATAAGGATAGTCATATAAACTGAATGCTATAACACAATGTAAAAAATATGCTTATTATATAATTGGTAATGCCTAATCAAGAGTAATAATGCTGATATTTTACAAGAAAAGATACACATATAGATACATCTCAAGCAATGCACTTACGTTATGATTAAATTCGGCATTGTCCTGTGTCTATAAATAATTATTGTTTCTACTTAACTACTGTCATACGTAGTAACAATACATACGTTGCTAATTCAATCCCCAATATGGGTTCGATCTTGCAAATTATTTTGTCTCCACTTGCATTTACATGTGATAAAACTTACTGCTAGACCATTTGCAATCACTCGCATTCATCTAAACATTCATTACTTACTAAAGTGCGGTATGTTCTTCTGCGACCCGTTTCTTTTGAATAAGTGACACGCGTTATTGCAACACAAAAAGAAAATGGAAACATTCTCGGTCTCGTCGATTTTTGTTTTGGCACAACGATTTTGACAATAAAAACTAGATTTCTCTAAAACATCGTCTGTCACTGCACACATGTATACATGTATAATTATTTATTACTGTTTCGCGTAATAACAAATATCTTTTGAATGTTTGTTCACTGGTAGCAAGAGTTACGTACACGGATACATTGGAGTTACTTGTTTCTCACATTTTATTACGATATGTATTAAAAATTATGATAATCCATGTTGTATTGCGCACTTTATCCGTTTTTTTTTAATATTACTAACTGTTAGTTACACCACGTATATAATGATGTTGCAGTAACAATTTACTGTGCTACACACAATATCTATAAGTCAAATGGCAGTACGTAATTTAGCCCATTCACGCGAACAATGCACCAATCTAGTTTTACTTTCAGAATCTGTGCCTGCACATATACATTAAAAAATTCTCTCCTAAAATAATTATCGAAGAAAATTCCTTTGAAATGTGTATATGTGAGAACGATATTTTTTTTTTTTTCCTGATTCTGACCAGTACAAAGCGTGTCATCTTTTTCATTTAAGGCTGCAAAGCAAGTTGCACATTTAGTAACAATGTTGAAAAATGAACGTTGTTCTCTCAACGCTAATTTGTCTTGCCCATTTTCATATTTCACTTAGATGCTACAACTATTCAGTGAACATCTGTCTACATGAATATATAATACAGAATAGACAAACTGACAATATATTGATTATGCACATTATCGTATTATCGAATAATCATGTTTAATAAATGTGATTACTTGTAGCTGTATTATTGCAATCAGATAAAAGAACGCGTGATTATTTTTTTTTCTTTATATATCAACATTATGTATATTTATGTAGACATATGTATAGTTTTCTTACAAATTCAGTCGTGAGTTTGTATAAATATATTCTATGCACAGAGTTTCCTAATGAGAATTAAACTGCGTGAAAAAACTGTAGTTTTTATTTAAATACATATTCGGATATATTTTCAAAAAGAATGATACTGTGTGTGTTTGCATAACGTTTTATCTCGAACTGAATCATTGATTATTCAATGAGCTGCAAATTAATGAGTAAATTCTACTACGACAATTTTCACTACTAATGAGAATTATACACATACAAAGTAGTTACGCGAATATCAAATATTTTTTCCAATTATTTTTCAATCATTAGATTACTCTTGGCTCGTGAGCCAAAATTCTTTCAATTTCATCATTATAAATATATGATCGATATATAACAGACAAAATCATTACAATCAGTCGCAAAAATGTTTTTTGTACCTATCGTTTGAGTAATTAGTAATTAAACATTAAGTGTAGTTCAATAAATATGTGGTGCTCTATTAGTTAAAGTAATTTAGATAATTCCTGCTAATTAGTAAAAACAAGCCGTGTATATATAAAAATGAAAACCACGTACCATATTTTTAGCTCGTGTGTTGAAAATCTAGTCTCGCTCATGTAACACTGCTCTCTTCCCTTCACTTTGTTTTTGTTGTTGTTGTTTCACATTCTACTGACGCTCAAAACTCGATTGCAATCTATCAATTTACATCTACAACAATTTCTCTAAGCAAATTTTTCTCACGTGCAAGTCAAAATATCTGGGAATAAGCTACAAATATATTGCGAATACGATGACGACGCAAGAAAGTGTCCGTGATTATTTGTCTTAAAGGATGGAATTCTCGGTTTTTTTTTTGTTTTTTTTTTGTTTTTGACGTCTTTTTTTTACTCATCTGATAAACCTATCCGTGCACTCGACGCTGTTATTTTTTTTTTTTTTTTACACTAAATTCGTAAGTTTGCTATTGTGTTTTTCTTTGTTGCTTTTTTTTTGTTACTTTCTGTATGTCAATCCCTGCCATTATCTCGGACTTGCGTGGCTATATAATAACAGTCTAGAACGCAATTTTACGTTTAGCAGCACAAACAGTACTTCTTTCTACGTTACAGTAAGGAACACACGCGAACTCATTTCCGAAAATTAATAGATTAAAACTTATGGGGCTACGAGGCAATGTCCGACATAAGCTGAGCGAGCAAAGCCGGCTCTAAAAGTCCATGAGTTTGCCCCATTCTCTCCAAATTTCGTACATCTTTATCAACTTCTTCCAAAGCCCGTTGCAATTCCTCTTCCTCTTCTCTCGACGGTTCATAATCACCATTCCTACCTTCTATAAATCAAAGTATTTTTCTAATTAATTCTAATATATATTTCAAGAAATATACACGTAATCAGTTTTGAAAGTTAGAAAGTATAAAAAAAAAACAAAGATGTTACAATTACCGATAAATAAGTCGTTGAAGGCATCCGGAGGCAAGTTGTTGAGCACGTTACCGAAGTCATGCTCGGCAGAATCCAAAGAAGCGAATACTTCGTTATCTCCAAGTTCAACTTTGAGTCCGCTGCCCAGCCCGAGAGAACCTAATCCCAATCCTAAATTCAAGTTAGACGTATTTGAACTTCCTTGCGGTATAGTCAAATTGTTTAACGTCTTGGCGTGATTTTCACTACAGTTTATTTGGTTCATGTAGTGATTGTCCTCGTGCATCAGCGCAACATCCTTCGTAGTCTCCATTTTGTTCGAGGGTGGCCGTTTGCGTTTCTTCGGTTTAGGCTTAGGTTTAGGCTTTGCTGGGATGGTGGGAGAAGTTGGTTTCTTACGAGCTTTCTTTGGTTTGGGTTCTTGGGCTTTGCGGAGACAATTGTCTCTTTTTCTCGCATGTTCTGGACAAAGAGGTAATTCGTGCGCGACATCAAACACAGGAACACAACACTGTGTGTTGTCACTAAACTTGGCAGTGCAATGCTCAAATAAGAGCTGATCTCCATTTAACATAATGTGGCGGGAACAATGCCGGGTACAAGGCAAAGACGTCTGTTGGCATCCTTCTGCTCCGCATAGCCCGCCGACTAACAGCGGCCCATTGAGTACTTTACTGGTGCTCGGAGAATCACTCAGAGCTCTCGCGGTAGAAGCAGGATCTTTGGAAGCGGCTTCTAACAAACACTTGACTCTATGCCGCAATACACCTTCGGTGTCAGCTCCATCAACACTTAGTTGTAGCAATTGCCGTTGTAATTGCAAACGTACTTGCGACAATCGAGCCGCACGATTTGTCGTCGCGGATTCACTGGTGAACCAATGACGTTGATAAGTTGTTATTTCATCTCCGCTCGATTCGCTGTCCGATATTTCATCTCCAGCTCTAGGATAATACAACAGAGTATGGTCCCGACTTTGTTTCCTACGTTTTAATCTTTGTAAATTTTCAATATGCCGCTGTTTACGCTGAACTACGTTAGAAAATTTATGATCTAAATTTTCCTCGATGCTACTCTCAACATTTGTTTCCGCCGTAGCGTTAATGCCGATAGTCTTGTAGCTTGCATCCGGCATGGGCGCTACTCTTATTCTTTGCTTTATGCATTTTCCTTTCGATTTGTTGTTCTTACAGTTTTGCATTACTTTTGAATGTGTTGTTGGAACCATGTTAGCATTTCTTCCCACTGCAGTGAATGGTTCTGGTTCACTGAAAATGTACGGATCAACATCTTGTTGAGCCTCAGTTTTCAGCAAAGCCTTCAAACGGTCCGAAAACTTCAGTTTATCCATGTTTGAATTTTCGGTAATAGGGACCTTCATTGGTTGCTGCTTCTGTCCAGATCTGTTCCACCTGCATTCTCAAATCCTCCAAGTCAACTCTCTTCCTATCTAGGTAAAACTTAGTTCACGCTATGTGCCAAGAGCCAAGTAACAAACTATATCAATTTAAAAATATAATACTGTAAGTATGAAAAAAAATGTCTTATTGTGTTATTATCACAGATATTTGTTATGTTTGCTAGGTAAAAAAAAACCCAAACTTATTAGCATTAGGATAACATGTAAAGATATTGTACAAGAGATATAGCAAGTTAAAGATAATACAGTAAAAAATAAACGTATGAACCAGTCACATTTGAGTATACTTATCAATGCATTATGTTTCTGATTTTTCTCACTTCCTCGGATACACATGTATAAGTAAAGTCATGGAACTTGCGTCAGATTTCAGTAGTAATTATACAGAATGATACATGTACAGCTTGTAAAACAATTCTTTTGTCAATTTGATACCCGAAATATTATTTTTACAAAGATAATACTTTAGGTGTAATCAATATTATTTAAAGCTAAACAGTACTAATAGGATTCACATTAATCACTTGGATTTGTATCAATATATGTATACATATATATATATGCAACAGAGCAAATTATATGAGTTTCCTGGTTCAAGCAATAAGCGTGAACTTAGTCCATTGCTAGATCAGGATAAAAACAATCCTTGCCTCGCATAGTAGTCTTAAACCAAACGTATCCTACACATGTCTGAGCACCCACGTTGGGCAGATGTCAGGGACGACGGACACTTCCAGAGACTTTTTGTGTTTCGACGATCTCAGAAGCGGGACCAGAGCCATATCATCAAACGTGATTTTCTCTCCACTGTTGACATAAGCACACACGACGTCGCTCTGATCAACGATGTTTTTTTTGGTTAGGTTAGGATTTGCTCGTTACATTGACAACAGGACATCGTGCAAAATACCGTGATGGGGGTGTCAGCGACGTGGCCAGAAGCGCTCTCCGGACGAGTCTCGCAGCATTTCGCACCTGGTGAACGGATCGGATCGCTCGTAATCGGTTGTCGGAAGGCTGCCTGTTGTTAACTCCGTGTTTCGGTAGGGTGCAACTGAGGTTGGAACGGCAACGGGAATCGCTCTCCCGACAACGGCGATGTCTGTCTCACTGTTCAAGCACGAGTCGATCTTTGACTGCGAGCAGGTCACTTTCCTCGAACAATAACTCGGAGTGATTCACGCACAAATTTCAACATTCATCGAGATAATAACATTAGGGAAAGACATGTCAGAGAAAGACGTGCGGGGAAAGCAAAATGGCCGACGCGGCGCACACGGGCGTACATGAAAAATCCCTGAAATTTCGCTACGGATACGGACACTGTACTGTTTTCTATGCCGCGCGAAAGTCAATTAATTTTATACGATACTATGAGCACGAAATGTTTTCAACAAAGGATCGTTTTACGTGGCTGTCAGCAGCGAGATTACCCGTTTCTTGTGCTTTTTTTTTTTCTTCAAAGATTAACATAACCTGTACGCCAAGTCATCGTCGTACATACATGCGCCAGTGTGTGCGCGACGATCTTTTTCTCAGCGATTTTATTTCAGCGCTGCTACCCTACGTATCTCGCCGTGTATGAGAATTCTAAAAAAATATTCAAAGAAATTCATATGTACATGCGTTAGTGTTATTAGCATAACAAGAGAAACTGGAACTTGTTATCGCTCCACAAGTCGTTCGATTTTCGAAAGTTATTTTGAAATTCCGTTTCATCAGTCAAATGGCATAACAATGAACTAGCTAGCAACAATTCTGGAACGCGTGCGCGTTCAAAGCTATTCAACTTATGCTGGTATTTGTATCATGTAAAGATGTCGAAATCACGCATGCTATCACGGAACCATCTCCAGATTTTTGAATAGACTTTTGATTCCTTTTTTTTTAAAGGCGATTTTAATTTAATCATTGTTTCGCAAACACACTACCTACTTTTTAATTGTTTACTTTCAAAAAAAAAAAATTTCACTTCCACTTTCGAATAATTTACATAAAAAGAGAAATTTTACTTTTGCAAATTTAAAATTACATAAGTGTAAAAGAAACAGCGTGAATTATTGAACATTTTTTAACATTTTTTTTACTTTAAATTCATAAACTCTATTTAAAACTTAAAATACAAATAGAGATGTACCTCATGTGAGAAAAACATCGGTGTTTCTCGGAAGACGATCACATTACTCAACACACACGAGTTTGTGGATGTGCACGAACGCTGATAGAAGTTGCTGTTCAATTATCAGTTTAGAAATTGTTTGTACATCTTGTGTATGTATTTACAGATTGCTTATGTTCGCAGAAAGAGATCCGTAATTTTTACTTTTATAGTTTTCAGCTCTTGTTTTATCCGTAAAACTAACAAGTCTTTTTGTTTCAGAGACTAACTCTTCATGGGTAAACTCAAAAATCTGAATTTTTTTTATTACAATCGCGTTCACACAACATTCTAAATCTGAATGACCTTGCGATATTTACAAAGCTATAACATAACCAATCCGTTATAAATGCAAATATCGCAAATCAAATGTAATAACAAAAATTTTACTCATTATTTTGACTGTACGTGTGTATATGAATGTATTACAATTGTGTAGCTTATTAATAAATGATACGCAGTTACAAGTAAAATTATATGTATAAATTTTTTATGTAACTTTTTTATACATATATATTTGTGTATATATGTACATTTATTTAAATTTATGAGAATTATACAAAATCAAAAAATGCAAAAAAAAAAAATTGCCACATTCGGAGATATCAGAATTTTACATGCTGTCTTTTGTAAAGATATTCGTAAAAAAAATCATAAAATTATATATATAAAATTTAATTATAAATATCTTTTAAATTATATAGTGTTTCATTTATAAAGTTTTTTCTCTCTTTTTTTTGAATGAAAATCAAATTAAAACTTTCAAATGCATTTTTGTAAATTAACAACTCTGTGTTATCACAAATGTTTATCTTTCAACAAGGTGCTATACAACAAACTGTGTACACTTGACACATACTTCATAATCCCAATGTTTCTGCTGAAAATTGGTGCAGAACTTTGTTTATCGAAAAGTTCCGTCCGTACGCAATATCATGTGCATTGAACACACTACACAACATAAATGTAACACTCTACAGGTTGCTTTTTACAGTCTCAACTTACAGAGACTTACAGAACAAATCCCTAAGTGGATAACAAATAAATTTGAAAGTCTTTTACAATTATTTAATTGCTAAATGCAATTGATTCTTAAAGCAAATAATTAATGAGAAAGTAATTCATTTCTAGAAAGTACTGAAACAAAAAACATGTAACACATTTGAAAACAAAATATATAGTACATTTGTGATTCTTTCTAAAATAAACATGTTTATATAAATATGCACAATATAATGACTGACTATTGAAAATACGTATTTGCAGTAATGTTGCGAAATGCCATAACAAGTGATGTAAAATTATGCAGTAAAAAGTATTGGCAATTTATATCAATTATTGAAATAAAACACAATAAGCCAACATTACAAAACAGAATTAGCAAAATATAATAGAAAAACTGTCACTTGTTTGTTTAATTTGCCTTGAATGTTGAAAACTATCTTCTTGGAATATTCTAATTCTTCAGTTTGAACCGTTTTGACGATAAATTCTTAGTTCGAGGTAAATAGTTCGTGGTAGACCCAAGGGACGGTAATTCTTTTATTACAAAAGTTGTATTTGCAAATTGTTATGAAATAGTCACTGGATCTTCGTTACGTTGTTCGTCGTTGAGGTTTCTGTCCTTTAATAACAACTGGCCGGCCTTTTATGAAACCTCGTTTACGCCGTGCGGTCTGAAACATCAATGCCCGACCCCCCATAACTTCAACTACGTTTCCAGATCAACTTACGTGTACTAATGAAAACGGCAAAACGATACGAAAAACCACCAAAATTAAAAGGTTCTTCTTCTTAATCTAACGTCTGAGACATAAGCACCAACCTTTTTACTAATGTAGGAATTTGCGCGACGAGTTATAATCCGCTCGGAGATCGGAATTCTTGGTCTATTGAACTCTACCGGTTTCTTCACCCTGTATATAAAACATTTTGTAATTAACACGGAACAATAATTATAGTATTTTTTTCATGCAACACACAAATTACAGTAAACTTGGAAACAAATTGTAAGACTGCTGCGAATTTTACCTGTAAATCCTGACAAGCCAATGCTCAGTGGTATAAGCTTCTTCCAGATATGTTAGCTGAAAGTTTTTATTGCCTATTTCCGCGTTACGAGTACGGTCGTAACCGTAAGGCGTTCGATAGTCTATTTTAACGTCTCCGAATCGATAATAACTCAGCTTGTACATCAGCGAGTTCAGCAAAGTCGGGGAACCTTCGGCGTCCACGCGAAATTCTCCTTTCTCGGTGAAGTAATCACTCTCGCGAATATCCTGCGGATGTTCACCCTCGGCAATTCGGACCATCCATAAAAATTTATTGATATCGTCGCCGGAGTAGCCGATCATTCCGCCAAATATGATCAACACATAATCGACATCCAGAGACGTCATAATCTCGTAAGCCGCACTTTCGTTCGAGCTCATAGCCTTGCCGACCAGAGCTATATGCGAATTATTCCATGTATTATTGTCCACGAGCGTAGTTCTACGTAAAAGTAACGTGATAAGATGTTACATCACAAATCTCATACATTATTCATCAAATACTACACAATCCTATGAATAGTGATGCATACCTGTTAGCCATACCGGCAATCTGGTACCCGTAATCCCACCAACTCATAACTCTAGCGTCATTGGGTGTGTTCTGAGCCAACCAATAATAAGCCTCCCGAAAATCGTCAAGTATTGCTCTTCCACCATCGTTGCTGTAGGATGCCAGAACTATAGACGGGCTAGAGTAGGCATTGCTGGTCACCCACGTGCAGTGTACGGTAAACATCATCAACAACATAAGCATGGCGATAACGACGATGTTGCGAAGATTCGCACCCAATCCGTCACCATTATTCTTTGTTCTTTCATGCTTCATTCTACGAAGTTTACCAGCTTTGTCGTATAATGCTCTACCGGGGCTTCTTTCTCTTTCTTCTTCACTCTCATCAGTCTCGCTACCGTTGCGATCATTTCCCTCCCTGTCTTCTTCCTTAAGATACAATTCTACGAGTCTGCTGATGGCAACGCCGGCTAGCATACACACTACCGGAGTCAGTGTCAACATAAGTCTTACCATCACACCAGCGAAGTAAACGGCACTTATGGAATACAATATAACTGTGAAGAGAAAAAAGAGAATAAAACAAGCGTAATATGTTATTGAATAATTATATTTTATCTTAAAATACGTCTCCATTATCGATTCTTACCAAACACACGTTCATCATTGACATGCTTAATACAGTACCAAAGACCAACGGGAAATGTTGTAACGAGAATGTGTAAGTCAAAGAAAAAGCTGAACCAAGTCGTGGGTTGATGTTCCGATACAGATGCTATTATAGGAATATGTATTTTGGCGTAGCCGGTATCCCATAGCGAGTAAAATCTACCACTCCAAGGAGCGACAACACCGGCATATGTTAACGCGATCAAAACGAACAGAAGTATAGTCGCGGTTACAGCTACTACACTCCCGAAATATTTCATCTCGGACTTGGTAAGTACAGTTCTTAAGTATCTGTAAATAGAAAATTGCAATAAAACATTCAGATGTTTATCCAAAGACTTACGATTCTATTTTTACGAATAATATATATGCAGATTAAAATAACATACAGCACTCAAAAATGATGCATACCTAAGAGCTGCTACAAAAATTAGAAGACCAAATACACCGCCTGCTGCCATATGCTCAGAAGTCCTGATCGGTTGAAAGCCAACAAATGGTATTTGCATACTCAGTAAAAGTCCAAGAACATAAAACGTAGTGTAACTGGTAAACAATCGATTACTAAAGCGGTTCATGACCAACAGGGCAAATACATGAAGTGGAATTAAATTAATTATGAACACATAACCTCCCCAAGCGGATACCATGTAGAAGTAGGACAGGGCAGTTACACTTGCCCAAAAGATGGAACCAGTTTTGACTGATTTAACCCAAAGATAGTAGGTAATTTGCAACGCGAAGATCGCAATTCCCTCATTGTCATAACTGCCGGCTACTGATCTTGAGATATAACCAGGCACAATTGCAATAAAGCAGGCCGCAAACAAACCAGCACCAGCACTCCATATTTCTTTAGTTAACAAATAGGTCGATATGGCAGTAAGGCCACTAAAAATTGGAGCTAAAAATACACATATGTCTCTTATATGCACTGGTATGTTCAGAGAATGCAGTATATAATGTATTGATCCAGATGTTATCATGAGTCCAGGATAAACAGTTCCGCCAACAATTCGACCCAGTGGATACCATGCACGCTCATCAAACCAATTCAGAAAATTGTAGAATCCATGTTGAACCATATAAGCTGTTGCTCTGTAGTTAAACCTAAGATATGAAGATATATATATTTAAAATTCTATATATACAATCATATTATCAAGCCAACAAAAAAAAGAACTTTTTTTATTTTCTTAAAGTAAAACTTTTTTTATTTTCTTAAAGTAAACTAATGATAATTGAAAAAAAATTTTTCAGTTGTTCTAAAAGATACTTATATAATTTGCATAATTGTACATACATATATACATATATATATATATATATATATATATACACATATATTTATTGTTTCTACATAAAATAAAACTATTGTAAATCAAATTTATATTAAATTTATATTTTTTTTTGCACTGCAAGAGAATAAAAAAAAAGCAGAATGAAAAAAATTTATGCAAAAATTTGTCACATAAGAAATGTAAAAGCAGATTCTTTTTTCGTGTGTCGTCAAAAATATCAGTTAAATGAATCGCGACAAGTTACGTACCAAGGATCAAACTCGTGTATGATACTCTCGAACCGTATGACGGCGAAAAGTCGCGCGGCGAAACCCGAGATCCAGGCGAGCAGGAGAACGGTGAAGGTAATCAGAGAGCTGAGACCGGCGGCGTTTGTCAACGTGGACGTTTTCATTTGCTTGGTCGTCGATCTCTTGTCGGAATACGTGACTTTTGCGTTCGCCGTACCGGACGACGACGACGACGACGAAGACGATTTGTTCGGATGCATGGTCTGTCGCGTTGCGCGTCTGCACGGGCGTGCGTTTAGATATATATCGGTCTGATGATGTTCACGACGACGTGGCGTTCGCCATGCGTGAGCGAACCATTCGCGATACCGCGTGGACAACGGATTACTTACTGGTTAAAGCGGCGCGCAACAAAATTTATCAAACTCGCTGTCAATGCCTAAGCTGGGAGGCTAGGACACGTCGAACGCCGGCTACGTGTTAATCATGACTTCCATTTTTATCATAGCAGCTGCGATAAGTTGCATAAGATACAGCTGAGTGAGAGAGAAAGAGACAGCGCGCATATGATCGAACATGCGCCTTTCGCCATGTATCAATTTTCCGAAATCTCGTTTGTTGATTGGTTTTTGTGTCGCTATGTGTCGCCATTGGGTGCGTTCGGGAAGCGCGCTATCAGCGCTGTTGCATCATTCTATCTTTATTGCTCATTAGATGTAAAACAAAGATAGAATGACGAGATAGCGCTGATAGCGTGCTTTCCGAACGCAGCCATTTGTTTCACCAATCGTGTTCGATGCGTTCTTCGTACGATGTGAGAGTGAAGCGAGCTTTATGAAGCTCGTTACACATTTTTCTACAATAAAAGGGTCGGACGTGCTGATTGGTCGTCGCGATCGTAGACCGGATTTACAATTTGATACGATTGTCTTGTAATTTTGTTTTTTATTCGGAAAATGCGCTACAAATTTTACAGTTTTAGTTTCCGGATATGTTATATATATGTAATATAAAACATATTTATTACAACAAGACATTGCACAAATGAATTCTCTTTGTAATTTACGTCGAGATTTTAGGTTTGTTCTTTTTACCTGAACTGGCTGCACTAGTTCAGAGTTCATCTTTTTCGCTCCACATTGGAAGAAGAAAGATAAACTCTGAACTAGTGTAGCCAGTTCAGGTAAAAAGAACAGACCTCTTGTATGTGTTGTTTTTAGGCACATGATGTGAGGTTACGTGTTATGCACTTCTTCGTAATTGATTGTATGTGTAATTTTGTAAGAACAATAATAAATAGAAGTATTTAGTCAGTGTTGTATTACATAATAGTAAACAAAATACAGCAACACACTTTTCAATGTTCTCAACCAAGGCACAGTTGATAAAACGTACTGGAAAAGATGGTATTGGACGTTATGAATTTTTAAAGCTCTTAGCAACTGAATATAAAACCACCAAGTCTAAAGGTAAGGCAAATGTGTAATTAATTATTATAATTAATACAGTTGAAAAATAATAAGTTGAGAAGTAAAAATTTACAATTGAAAAATAAATATTTATTTATATTTTTCAAATTATTAGAAGCAAAAGAGCAAGTGCTAGCAAACTTGGCAAATTTTGCTTATGATCCTATAAATTACGGTTACATAAGACAGCTACAAATAATTGATTTGTTTCTTTACGCTCTGTCTGAAAATAATCCAAAGTTAGTGCGTTTTGCTATTGGTGGTATTTGCAACTTATGTTTAGGTAAGTAAACATACAATAAGAAAGAATTGGAATAGAATTTGAAATCACAAAATCTGTTACATCCTATATGGTTTTTTTTTTTCAGATACGATAAATAAGATATACATTCTAAGAAATAGAGGTGTTCAGTTAATATCATCATTACTGTATTCCCAAGATGAGGATGTTGTAACATCAGCAATTTCTACCTTGATGTTTCTTGTCACATCTGAATCCAAAACTGAAATAACATCGGTTAAAATAATTAAATGCATGCAGGAACTTTCTTGTAACACTAATATTCGTATCAAGAACTTGGCACAAATATTTTTAACCGATTATTGTAATGCAAGTGAGGTGGGAAAAGTAAAGGAAAACAGCAATTAGCACTAGAAAGTGAATAGCTTTCTAAATCTAATATATTTTTGTTCAACTACACATCTTAGTAATTAAGACATTTGTATAAAAGTGAAAAAAATAACATTATGAGAGTAATTCAATATTTTCTTGGATTTTGTACGAGTCCTGCAAGAATCTCTTCCAAAACAAGGTTATTTTGTAACACAATGTGTAATCTAACAGAAGGAGATCAAATATCAGTTTACAGAAAGATAACAAATAATGACATACTCAAATTTGCTGAATTGACAGGTGATTTTAATCCAATACACACTGAGTCAGCAAGAAATATAGTTCATGGTGCTTTTCTCAATGGCCTAGTTTCGGGATTAATCGGAACAAAGTTACCTGGCGCGGGTACTGTAGTTATTGAACAACATCTCACATTTCCTAAACCGTGCTATGCGGGGGATATTGTAGAAATTACAGTGAAAGTTGTATCAGTAAGAAAAATTATTAAATGTGAATACACGTGTATAGCTAACGGAGAGAACGTCGTATTAGAAGGAATAGCAAAAGTCATGAAAAAAATATTGTAAATACATCTTGTATTTCTTAAGTAACTTGTAAATAAAATATTTTTTACTGAATATACTTTAATTATATTTGATACGATTTTATCAATATATAATTTATTATATAAAACCTAAATATAAAATAGAAATTGTGAATATTTAATAGTAAATATCTAAAAAATAAAACTGAGCAGAAATTAAATTGAGAACGATTTGTAGAGAGCCGTAACGCAGTTTTCATTGCGTAAAAATAAAACAATTTGAGAGATAAAGTAAATAAAATCTTACAAGCTTGTACATTCGAAGCAGTAAATAATTTAATTAAAACTCTTGAAAAACTCTTACTAAACAGTATTTACAGTTTTGATTAGTAAGCATTTCATGAATGACACATTTATTGCAATATTGAAATATAATGCGAGAGCATGAAGGTATCAGTCTTATTACATTTGAGTGAAGCTTCGCGAAGTGATAGTAAAAATTGGTTTTGCACAAAAGATAAATCACTGGTGCATAATTGCAGATATTTAACAGAGAAAAAACATTTTGGTATTTTCCTTATCTTTTTAATATTAGTATGGAATTGGTATATTAAAAATCTTGTCAAGTAACTGAATTAATTTAAATTTCAGGCCAAAATGTTTTTGATATTGATAGTGGTAGCTCTTTTTACGTCACATTCTTATGCAGAAAATAATATTAAATCTACAAATTCAACTAAACAGCCTATTGGCTGTGTCTGTGGTGTATTTTTAAGTGGACAATTTACGAAAGGAAGCAAAGAACAACCCAAAGGATTTCCTTTACTTGTCCATGAATATCCTGATCCACTTCCGTGTACTATTGCTGGAAATAAACTTTGCACGAGCAAATGTGTTGAAGCAGTAAGTGTCTACATTGAAGTTTTCAAAATTATTACATCTTTATCGATTCAATAAAACTAATTATTAATAACAGGATTTATAATTATGTTTTACAGATAGTGAAATATTTGCCACAAAGTCCGACAACTCTTTGTGCTTCTGCAGATCGTGATTTCCACAGAGAAAGGGTGAGTATTTGTATAAAAAATTTAATTATTGTATTTTATACAATAATTTTATACAATATACTATTGTTTTGTATATGCTATATTTTTTATTTGTTATTATATTTTATCATTTTATGAAAACAGAATTATATTTTCTGCTCAAGTCATAATTTAAAAGCACGATATTCTTTTTAACAGGCTTATCTTTTCATAAAAAATTGCAAAGACGAATGGATAAATACAAACCTTTCCGCGGGCAGAGAATATTGCTGTAAAGACGGTTCCTCATATAAGTGTTAGCGCAATATGATAAATTTAAGATATTTTTGTACAAGTTTAATTTATATAAATTCAACAAGTCGACGAAATAATAGCAATATTTGATTTTAAATGCATTTTATTCAACTCTCCTGGATACTTTGAATATCCCACCATTTGTCTAAATATAGCTTGTAGATCCTCAGATACGCTCTACACAAAGACCATGCAGGAATTCAGCACAAATATCTCAAAGCATCTTTCTATATTTAGATTTTGAGGTGTGAGAATTTTATGGACATAGTGTTTCAGTTCAGAATTCACTGGCGCAGTACTTATATTTAATTATAAATTTCATATTTCGCAAAAGTTTGAAGACAAGCGTAGTCAACAAAAGTGCATCATTGAACTCTATTCCGCATTATTGGGCCAAGTTCAAGCATAACCCTGATATTTCAATAAGACTACAATGCCACCTTCAAATTGCACAATCTTGTACTTTAACAATGGACAATGTTACAATTGCAATGTGTGATTTTACTGCGTAATTACAAAGATGTTCGCGTAGGAAACAGCGTTATGCAGTTAAATAAATGCACAAAAATGTATGTTTTATAAAAATACAGAAAAACTTTATATATATATTGTATATAGTTAAAACAATAAGAGATATATACGAGATTAATCGGAACAAATATAAAATGTGCGCACGACTTCTAGCGTGTCCGTTGTGCTCTCAACCAGGATTCTTAACGCTTGATGCGCTACGAGCTGGACTTGTAAGTGTCGCGACTCGACCTCTGATATGTCCTGTGTGTAACGAGGTGCTGTTAGGCATAGATAAATTAACTATACACTTGTTCGGCCACACAATCAACTTAAATAACAACGCAACGGAGACGTCCAAACACACAGACGTTTCTAACGAGCACATGTTCGCGATGCACAATGCGCACAACATCGCTCTGCACGATTGGAACATGTTGAAAAGTCAATCGAGCAAAGTGCAAACTTCAAACGGCAACAATAGAACCTGTTTAGATCCTGATGTGCTGAATATCGATAAAATCTCTATTATAAGTTCGCAGTCTCAAGGTCAAGAGTCGCCAGCCAAAACCGTAAACCAGTACGGTTTTACATCGGATTACAATTATGATAACGTGATAAAAGTAAATATCCTGCCGCAATCGAATGAAAATCAGAATGCAATGTCAAGATCAGTAACAGATCTGCAAGATGAGATATTGAAGACAAACGCAACGCAGTATTTTTGTAATGACAGTACCAGACATTTGAATATGATTCAAGGTAATATGCACGCAGAAAAGACAGCTACATCGGATTTAATTTCGACAAAAGTGACGGAAAATGCAGACACCGTGGAAACGAACACCGGCTCACATGTTGCGAAAGAAGGACTGACGATAAATTTAGTCGAAAAGGAAAATGATTTTTCTAATTTTCAATCGATTCAGAATGTAATATCAGCTTGCGCGGATGTGTCGTTAGAAAAAAATAATGACAAGCACAATTTGTCTAACACTAGAGACACCGTGCTGGACACAAACGATCAAAATTCGGAACACAGGATGTTGCCACAAACGTGTAACACCAAGGTATTCCGAAACATAGTGCCGAAAGAGAAAACTGAGAGATGTAGCACATGCGGTTTACATTTTCCCGACACCAATATTTTGACTTTGCATAAACAACTGGTGCACGAACAAGATTCAACCATTATCTCGGGAAAAGTTCTCAAAAATTACTCGTGTCATCTTTGCTCCAAGGTGTTCAAAATGAAAGGCAGTTTGATGATTCACATGAGAGTGGCGCATGTTGGACACAATTCAAGTAATTATTACACAATAGTTTAGCACATCACTTTGAATATAATCATAATATATGTGGTGTATTAAAAGAGTGTTATGATATTTAAAAGTTATTATTCATACGTGTGTACAACTTCGTGCAGGCTCTTCCCCTAAAGACGGTCAGGTTGAACTTGCGTGCAGCGACACTGGATATTCGTGTCCTACGTGTGGAAAAAAATTCAAAAAGGTAAAAATATATTCGAACTGTCTTTTCGTACCAGTTGCGATACAAAATAATTGAATTTTTCTATACAAAGTATTTTTGTTCTTCAGGAGCAACATGTGGTACAACATCTGAAAACTCACGAAAGTAAACAATGGGAATGCGACACTTGCAGCAAGATGTTCACAACGAAATATTTTCTGAAGAAACACAAACGATTGCATTCGGGAGAGATGCCGTACAAATGTAAAATATGCGACAAGAGCTTCACGTTTCAGCAGTCATATCACAAACACAGACTTTATCATAAAGATGACAAGCCTCACACCTGTACAACCTGTGGCAGATCGTTCAAAGAACTTTCTACGTTGCACAATCATGAAAGAATTCACACAGGAGAGAAGCCATTTGCATGTGAAACATGTGGTACGTTGAGAAAACGATAACAGTTGAGAGAAACGCAATTATTAACAATCCGTCGCTTATTTGGAATTGACTAACAACTAACATCAGTCACTTTGTCTACGTTAGTTTCTAATATGCTGTGCATGACTCAAAAAGGCAAGTAAATTTGAGAATAAAACCGCAAATTCTCTCTAACAGAGAATGAGCAATAAAAGGAAAAAAAAAACAATCCTGCTGTTTTATCATACTAAATTCTTTCGCAGGAAAATGTTTTCGTCAACGTGTTTCGTACTTAGTCCATCGTCGAATTCACACTGGAGTGATGCCTTACAAATGCACAATGTGTGGCAAAAGCTTTCGATATAAGGTATAAAATCGCGAAATATTTTAGTCGTGTGTCTCGCCGTTGCTACCAAATTTTCGTGCGTGTTTGCAGGTGAGCCAAAGAACTCATAAATGTCCCGCACAACAGACTACAGGCAACGTACAACAATCGTCAGAGATAATTACACAAAATACCGATGATAAAACAGTCATGCCACAGATAAATAATTCACAGGAAAGTCAATCGGTGATTAATGCTGGGAACAACAAGGAAAATAAATTTGTGTTGATCATAAATGCCCAAGGGCAACACATTTTAGCATTGGAGTCAGAAATAAATAACATATCCTTGGAAAGGAAAGAAGAAACTGTGGAATACAAAAGTGACAATGCGGAAAAAACTTCGCAAAGCAAGGTTTGGAACAATGACAACGTCAGTTCTCCAGAACTCAAGAAACCTGCAAAATCACATGAAAAACCACAACTGGATAATGAGAAAATCGATATCAAAAGTACAAGTGATTTCTTTTCAATGGTGATGTCCCCTCTTGAGAACAGCATACAGTCTCCTACTTTTGAGATGGAACACCTGAGAGTGTCATCGCCTAAGGAAAAAGAGAGCTCAATAAATTCTTACACGAACTTTTCGGAAGTCTCTGACAATATGCAAATAAATATAACACAGTCAAATTTAGAAGAGAGCTTTGTTGCTAATAAAGATGTTACCGATTCCTTGCAAACCATAAATGAAGAATCATTGAAGGAACTATTGTATGGTATGGATAGAAAATAAATATGACAGAGAGTACAAACTAATCGTAAATTCTATCTACTTTAATCACATCAAAGATGAAAATACATCAAGAAATGTATTCATTCTAAATGTAAAACTGTTATATATAATTGTGACCTTGTATATACTATCGAATTATATTGTATTTATAACTTGACCATGTTATGAAACAAGTACGACATGTGAACGAGTTGAATACCTACAATTTATATCATGTGCGATTATCTTTGATCGACTTATTTTATAGGTTAGGTTAGAAATAATCAAGTAAACATATACACGCTACATAACGTATAACCAGATAAGTTACTTTTGTTTATATGTACTTACTCTTAATACAAATTCTTTTCATGTCAGCTGTTAATTAATAAACTTATCTGCGCACTAAAACAAAACACGCGGAACACATTTTGACAAATTCTAACGAATCAAATTAAGCTTGACGATTGTGTATCTTTGAAAGGAACGATTGCACGCGAAACGACATAACCTGTTCTGATCACTTCTGACGCTTTTGACTCACAGAGACAGAGGACGCTTTCCAGCCAGTGATGTAAGATCTTGCAGGCTAGCACCAAGAGCACCGAAGTGTTGGGAGCCACTGGGAACACGCACACAAGCGAGAACCGCCGTTCGTGTGCGTGGAACACACACTGAAGCTGACTTCTCGCTTGTGTGCGTGTTCCCAGTGGCTCCCAACACCTCGGTGCTCTTGGTGCTAGCCTGCAAGATCTTACATCACTGTTTCCAGCTACGTACACAAGCGACGCTGTGTAACACAGTGGGTGCGTTCAGACAACTCAAGGGTTGAAAGATCATCACTTATGATAGGACTATTCTTCAAAATCTGCGGCGATTCCAAACGTACGATCCAATCAGAAGTGATTATCTCTCAACCGTTGTGCAACTGTTGAGTTGTCTGAACGCACCCAGTGTCCATTATTAAAGCCCCTTGCACAATGGAAGGAATAGCGATAGCGATAGAAGTAACACCAGTTTTAAAGAGTTTATATCTATAAGTACCGGTAAGAACAGCGGAATCTAACATATAAAAATACACACGTATCAATGCAGATCAGAAAACGGAATAAGCAATAGCGATAAAATTTCCGACGAGTTGGAATTCTGTGTCTGTTGCTTATCGCTATCACTATTCCCTCGCATTGTGCAAGAGGCTTTATGAGTGAGACACACTGGGTGCGTTCTGACAACTCAACAGTTGCACAACGGTTGAGAGATCATCACTTATGATAGTACTATTCTTCAAAATCTGTTGAGGTTCCAAAAGTATGATCCAATCAGAAGTGATTATCTCTCAACCGTTGTGCAACTGTTAAGTTGTCTGAACGTATCCAATGTGCACCAGTATGAACATTGCGCTGGCTCACAGGGCGGAAAAGTGATTCCACATTTTCTTATGAGCTTGGCCGTTCTCAGGCTAATCTCTCTGGTCAAACATTGTGTGACTTTGTCTGTGTTCCTTGCTGGAAAGCAACCATAGAACAGCGCAAGAAATTGATCACGAGTGCGAGTGGTTGTTGAAAACGAAACTTAGGCCTGGTTTATGCGGGCCTAGGATTTTAATATTTCTGTTTATTAACAGAAGCACAACAGAATGTAACAGAAGCATTGAAATCCTATAGTTGAACTGTACCCCAATTCCGGCATAAATTAACAGTTATTTACCCTCATAAACAAGGCCAAAACAAGGCCTTATTTGCCCGCATAAACCAGGCCTTACTCTCCAAGCAAACACCCAATTAAATATATCCGACAGTTTTGCTGTGACACAGACAAACGTTTTCGCGCCACGCTATTGGTCCCGCGTTTATTTCGCGTGCGTTGTGCACGCGAAATTTTGTGTGTGCGCGCTTTCACAATCGAGACGCGCGTTCTCGAATCCGATGCGAATCCGACCTTGCCCGTCGTCTGTAATCATCTCGGTCGAGATATCTCGTAGCAGACGACGAATCGACTTGACAGCTCACTCTGTATTTTCACGTGTCCCCTTGCGCATCGCATTGCGTAATTGGAGTCCGACTTCCAGGGAGGAGCTCCCTTTTTACGGTGAGTAAAGGGCGTTAATTCTTCCTGCTGGGACGAGGAGTCCGGAAGAACGGACTCCTCGGCCGTCGCGTGGATCCCGTTGAATGCCGGACACAGCTGATATCCCCCGGACAGATCCCCAGTTTTGACATCGCACGGCTGATTGTGTCGCGGTCGTTTATCATCGGTCAATTGGCTGCTGCCAGATGCGTTTCTCAGCCAATAGCCGCACGCCGAGATCGGTGACTGCGATATCTTGACATCTGGTTTTACGACGCGTCTTCCTCGAATCACGCGTTGTCGTTTCGCATCTTTTGATAATATTATTTATGCGACAATGAGAAAGAGAGAGAGAGAGAGAGTGAGTGAGTGAGTGAGAGTGAGAGAATGAGAGAGTGAGAGAGTGAGAGTGAACCTCACCAAGACATGACCCCCTCGTCGCGACGCGTCTCTCGTGTGTCGTGTAATTCTACACCGTCGCATATTTCGATCGGTTCGAACACACGTAGACGATCAATCGGACCTTGAAACGAATAAGCGTATGTTTGAAGCAAATGCGTCGTGTGTTGCGCATTTTTACAGTCGCTGATTCGCGAAGGCACACGCTCGAACGATAGATAAGATTTTGTCGTTCCCTGGACGTGTGAGCGTTTTCGGACCTTGACAAAAAAAAAAAAAAAAAAAAAAAATCGTATTGAACCGTTATCGGTGAACGTGAATTAACATTGATTGGAACAGCTCGTGATAAATGTAAAAAATTTATAACGTAGTGCGGGTTTTGTTCAGCCGTACGTTGTTATAATTTGAATCTCGAGTACAGATGAGATTAGCAGATTCACGCGCTCTTCTTTTCTTTTGCAAAGGTGAGTGATAACGAATTCGGTTCGCGTCGGCGATTTCCTGTCGGCGATAACGTCAGAGCAAATACGTGAATGCGCGTTATATAAATGAACACGCGCAGTGTGCGCAAAAGCACGTCGGTGTATAGGTTCGTTTTTTTTTTTTACACGTGCATGACGTTCCATGACGATGAATTTGCGATCGATCGATGTTTGTTACGTAGTACGTGAAGGAAGTGTAATGTGTTTCGCGAACAAAATTGCAAAATTGCAGTTCGCATATTTTTTTTTGTTGTTGTTTTAAAATCTCGATTTGCGTACGCGCGACCGACGGTTCGCGAGGACGGTTTTTCATTTGCACCGTCTGCACAACACGGTAAAAATAAAGATTTAAAAAACGGTCAAACAAGATGGCCGTTCGCGCCGCCGCTGTTTGCGCAGTAGCGGCAAATGGAGCACCCCGCATCGAGAGAAAAACTCTTGCGCATGCGCAAGAACAAGTATCTCCCGCATCTTCGTCACCTGTTTCGCTATCTGGATGATTCATTGCGCTGTCTCTGTTTCTTTTCGATATTATCTAATTCGGTTAAGCAGCTTTTTTTCTTTTTTCTTTACGTTTCTTGATGACATTGAATGAGAAGATTCAATGAGAGATATTTAATTAAGTTTAAGTTTTTCAACAATTTTACGTGTGCGATGTTTCGATGATTATTAACTCAGCATTAAAAAGTCGCGGAGATTCAATTCGCAATTTCGAACATTTTATTGTGATCTGTATCTCGCAAGTTGATCGTCAATTGAGTCGATTGAGGTTGGTCAAAGGTTACCTGAGATATAACAAAAAAAAAAAAAAAAACTACAGAAGAAACGCAAATATTCTAGAAAGGCATCTCATATTACGCGCGACTAAGTACGGGCCTGGTCCGATCACGTGATCTCGGTCTGGGGTTCTCGCACGCGCAGTGCGGAGTGGCAGCGTGAGGAGAGGGTGAGGGAGTTCTTATTCTCTCTCTCCTTCTCACTCTCTCTCTCTCTCTCTCTCTCTCTTTCTCTCTTGGCAGTGAGGGGAGCAGAGGTTTTCCGACGTACAGCGAAACAGTTTCGACGTGCTCGAATCACGTACGTATTATCCGCGTGTAGCTCCTGGCTGCCTGCGTGCTGGCTCGTGTTGGCGTGTGTGACATTGACGTCGGGGGCGGAGCGTCCTCGGGCCTCCCAGTCCTAACCAACCCGAGCGCCGATAGCCGTTGTCGCATTCCGCCGCGACTTGTCTTCAGTGCGCTTGGTTCGTTCGAACGTGCTCTTGTCTTCTTGTTGTTTGTTGATTGGTGGTGTGTGTACGTTTTGTAGTTGCTCTTCGCGCTGTGCAGACAGGCAACGACGAGTCAGGCAGCTCACTCGCACTTGTTCGTTTCTCACGTACCGTTGCGTGCGCGCTTAATGCATCTCCGCCGTCGGACCCCGTGCATGTGTGTTACGTCCGTACGCAACGATAAGACGAAGAAAAGCAGTCTTCCTCGTCTTCTCGCGTTTCAACAGGTCGAGGGAGGACAGCCTCGCGATGCCTTGGGCATGTTTTTCCCACATTCAGGTAAAGCAATACATATATGTATATACAACGTACATAATTTCCTATGATTATTGTTTTCGGAAGAAGTGTGCCTCTGACGAAAGCATCATGAAGTGCGTGGGGTGGGCGCGAGTGGGTGGGAGGAGGAAGAGAAGAAGAGTCCATAGGTACGCAAGACGAGGAGATAGATGAAGAGAGAAAGAGATAGAGTGAGAAAGAGGGGAAGAGTGTAGGGATAAAGGGCAAGGGAAAGAAGGGGGGTTCCTCTTTTTTGGAGGACTTCAACCTGAGGTCACGAAGAGAGCGAGAGAGGAGAAGTGCGTGTGCGAATCAGAGTGGGACAAAGAGAGAAAACCCGTCCACCATTACTTGATCACGAGCAAATGGTGGCTCGCTCGCTCGCTCGCTCACACTCGTTCCACGAGTCTTTGTTGGTAAAGAGCTAACAAATTCGAGGTTTGCTCTCTCTCTGGTTTGCGGAGTTTTTTCTCTGTTCGTTCTCTCGCTGACTCGCTCGCTGTCTGCGTCCTCTCGAAGCCTTTGTCAGAAAACTGAGTAACATACATACGACGTCGCGGTGAGAAAGGGAAGGGGTCTCCCGCTGCAATGTCAACGGCACAATTCCGCGTTAGCAGGCGATATCGGACGGACCTAGCAGTCGTGGTGTTTGTTATGATTCTCGGTTCGTTACTATCTCTCCTTTTGCTGCCATACGGGGGGAAAACGTTAATTGCGTATCGCGTACCGACCGTTTTATTTAGTCACGCTCTTGTTATCCAGGCGCATATGGCTCGCACTGAGACAAGGAGTTTTTTCCTCTTCTTTTCTTTTTTTTTTTTTTTTTTTCTGAATCACGTTATCGATATTGCTGCTAGCGTTTGTGCTGTCTACTTTGCATTCGTTATGTACGAACCAGCGTAGACGTGCAAATTCAGCAACAAAAAATATAAACGACACGACCGTTTTTTTAAGTAACGTTTGTGATGTGCTTGTTGAAAAAAATTGTATTTGTCTCGCGAATAAATCACACGCAATAAGTAAGCTTTATTGCGTTATTACGTTACTCTATCATATTTGTTCGGTCATGCAACTTCGAGTTGGATTTCGAGTGTGTGCGCGATAACAATCTTAAAGTAAATGTTTCACTTCGCAAAATATTGTAGTGATGTTTTCCTCTGACAAAGGAGAAAAATCTTACTGCAATAAGGAAAATCCTTTTGTTTTTGTCATACTCTTGATTTATATTCGGTTTCTTAATTATTTATCGTATTTATAAAAAAATGAATAAAGAAAATTTACGTTTACCTATTATATCCCATTGTTTCTTACAGAAATTATTTGTTGATCTCTTACATAAGTAGAAAAAATGTTGCACAATTTGTAATTTCTCAAAAGTTTGAAAATCAATTTATATTTTTGTATTTTTACAAATAACTATTGTGTGAATAATATTTATATGTCATAAATATGTTTATTATTATATAAACGTAAACCTCTTATATTTAGTTGTCATGTATATAATTTTGTCTTTACAGACAGAATAGTGGCATGAGTCGATTAATCTATGGCAGATCAACAAGATCAGTTGTCATCAGGGGGGTCTGTAGAGAAGGCCAGTGCTTCAGCAGACACCTCTAAACCTAGGGGGAAAAGCTCCAGTGGCTACAGAAAACGACAAAGTGCTGCAATCTTAGATACAGTGGAAGAGAAAAGACGTAGACAGACTACTACTAACGACTTCAACTCTCAAATTGATAGTACAGCTCACGCACACACAAACAATTCTTCCAGAGGTGAAGGCAGACTCAGAGGTGAAAATAGTAATCATGGAGCTGGCTTAGACTCTTATCCAGGTAGGTGTATGTAAAAATAACAAATAAAAGTAAGTTTATTCTTGTTTTTTCTTTGCTTATATTATTGCACAATCTTAACTCATTTTGGTTCATTATTGAATTAGAGTAATTAAACTGCCTGCAACGTTTTAGAGATATTTTTCAGCTCTCTTATCTTGTTGGATTAAATTACGATATCATGATAATTATGATAGTACGATGATATTAATTGTAATGCATTTATATCGTAAAATATTATGACACAGATACTGACTGGAGATTACATCATAAGATTCATCAAGCCAACTATAACAGCAATAGTAGCAGTACAAGAGTGCGTAGTGCAGCGAGGACACATTTACCAGAATTACCATTAACAGCTACTGATTGTGTGGCATCGCGGACGCGTTCTCGTACACCTCAAAATCCACAAGCATTAACACAAGGAACTAGCAGTTACGATCTGTCACTTCCTAGTGGATACAATAGTCGAAAGGCAAACACATACCACAACCTGGTAGCTTCATCGAGCACATCGTCAATCACTAGTCATCCATCCACATCAAGAGGGAGAGGAGGTTAGTACATATATCTCTCAATATCACCGATTGCAAGATGTGATGTGTGATTTGCGTGAATATACAATTTTGTTTTTAGGATTCCTTACATTGACACATAATTTCTTGAATCTCATAACAAACGCAAAAAATATAATTCTCATGCATATTTTTATGTATTAATTAAACTTTTTACTTTTTATTTTTGTCTTTGAATTTTTTATTTTTTGACATTAGTAAGTGAGAATATCATGGTTTAAATCAGAGCTGTCTTACTCTATGACAATCTATTTCTTAAGTTAGAAACATTAAGAACAAGAAAACAACTACTTATTTGTAGATTTTTATTAAAAAGATAGCTTTGATTTAAATATATATAAATTAAATAAATTAAAAAAATTTGTGTGTTCTGTAGTTTTACGTATAGTAATTTTAATTTATGTTAAAACATATGCGCGCATGAAGAGAGGAAGTAAAAATATAATAAACTTCATTCAATGAATGATGAATATTACTATATCAAGCAATAAAAACCTTTTGAAATTTTTTGTTACTGTGCAGTTATTATATTTATCTTTCTACTAAATCTTTCGTGTTAATTATTTTGACGAAACAAATTATGTATCTTTTGTTTCTGATGATAAACGTATTAGAAAAAAGAAACGACATACACAGATACATACATAAAATTGATAGGTGATTTCTTGAACAATGCACAGAGAAGAAGAACAAGAAAATTGCGGAGCTAGCATAGGTAGCATCTTACATAAACTCGAACAAAGAAATTCTTTGTGAAATATACATTTCTGTATTTAAACACATACACGGTTGTTGTATCTCTACTAAAATGAATTTCTGCTGATTTAAAGCGGAATTATAAAATCAATACTTGAAATCGTGATACACACACATACAGTATGAAAAGACATGTTGAAATTTTTTCGGAGCAGTGTTTCCCAATTCGCTATTGGATTTTCGTAATAAGTTAGTGTGTTGTATTGCAAATTTTGTCTTATTATTCTTATGATCTCGGATACAAGATTAATCTTTGTGCATAAAAATATGTGCGATAAAGTTAGTTAAGACGCTCAATCAAAGAATCAAAGATCAAAGAAAGTTAATGCGTTTTCTCGAGATAGGAATATAATAAAATTTAGAAAATGCAAGCATATTGTCAAAATAAGAGTCATAGATCAGACTGTATCATTAGGCCAGAGGATGAGCGAATGTCTGGAAGGATTTGTGTCTGCTGTCAAAGCACTTTTTCCAATATCAACACAAACCTACCATCAAGAAGGTAAGAAGGAGAACACACTTCGTACCACACACATTTTCTTCCCCTTATTTTCTCTTGCAAACTTCGCGTGTAGTTATAAATCAATATTTCTCAGAGTCATTGTGAACTCCATTGTGAATTTATATATTCCTTATGTCCATATACAAGTATCATTCTACTTAACGTTAGGGTAAAAACTTATGTGTCAAATTCGTTTGTGCATGGTATCAGTTATTATAAAATTATATTCAGGAAAAATTTATATAATCGTAACACACACATTTATTGTACAGTGTGCATACGTTTTATTAAGTTTGATAATTATCTCTCTCATGTAAATAATATGTAACATATAAAACTACATCATCATGTTCTAATCACTATGAGAACATTTATATATTACATCAAATTGCAGATTTTTACAGTTTTTCTTTGTATGTACTTAGAATGTGTCATATCAGTTTAATGTATATAATTTAATAAATTAGAAATTAACAATGTGTGTTTTAAATAAAGAAATCAGTATTTACACATCGACTCTTTTAAATTAAATAAATATGCTAAATATTTATGACTTGTTTACAAACATTTTCGTAAAGTTTATATAAATATATAGTATAATACAAAAATAATAATATTGAGATGTTACATATACACACAATATAATTTTCGAAAACCTTTAAATTAATGTAATAAATATTGCTTTTTGAATTGATACATAAAATTGTGAAAAGTTTTTTCACAAAAACATACTTCTTTCAACGAATATAAAATAATTATATTATTATTTCATTATGATTCTCAAATTTATATATTATATGTTGTTTTTGACTGCATCTAAAAAAGAATCTAAAAATAACGCAAAATGCAGAATTATTTAAATGATGCAATAATATATAAAAAAAATGTCTAGAATCTTTATTTTTTCCGTAAAAATTGTTCCGTGAGAATTGTTATCAAATAACAGCATGTGCTACTAAACGAGAATTATTGTAGTGAAGTACCAGAGACCTAGGGTAAGTCCCACTTGCCGTTTGCATAGCTCGTGAGCGTTATCCTATTTTTGTTTAACTTTTGATGAAAAACAAGGATGAAACGATTGAGCTTTGCGAACAACAAGTGGAACTACCTCTAGAACACAAAAAACCCCACTGTGATTTAGTGTGACTCTCACAGCAGGAAACATATTAAAGTAGTTCTATACAATAAAATTACGGTATTAATTCCAAAAAATTCTAAGAATTACCGCTTCATGTTCTACTTACGAAAGTTTTGCTACTCAGGTAAACAGATGAAATTGTTTTTTTGATTTTCCATTTCTTTATTTTGCTTGTACTATATTATCTAACAGCAGAGGCGAAGGAACATTTTTAATCTCATTTTCTTATTCTTCGATAAATGTGGTGTAGGTAGAAAACTAGCTGAAATCAATGTTATTTCAAATAAAGAAGCAGACTTGAAATAATCTTTATAGTTTATCTAACTTATACTTGTGTGTGTGTCAGTGATATACTATTTAAATAATACCGTGATTTGGAGTTGTTTTTTTTATATCTCAAAAATATATCTAATAATTAAATTTGCTAATTGTGTGTAGTAATTAAAAAAAGGTTTATAAAGTGAACAATTTTATATAAACAATATGTAAAATTGTCTAGCTTTAGAAGATACAAATTTATTTCTACACAATATTGTGATAGACAAAATTGTATATAATATTGCATGAAATATCATGATAGAAATCATACATCACTTATAATCATCAAACTTGCGAAAATGTTTGAGTTTTATTATTGTGCACAATAGGATTTACATTTTTACTTTAATTTCTATAAACATTTTGCCCATGTATCTTTTGAAAATGTAAATATTAAAAATATACGTACATTACATTATGAAAATTGTGTATTGCACAGCCATAGTCACATATACAAATCACATAAACACACAGAAGTTATTTCTTCATTATTTTAATGATTATGTGCCATTTGAATATTTTAGATTCAAAATCACACGGTGGTGCAACCTGTAGCACAAGCAGTAGTACGAGTAGTCAAGTCCTGGGTGTAAAGTCAAGCATCAGAGTGGGTAACGCAGCAAGTAACTCTGTGGAGAGTGGTGGGGGGGCGTTGGCACATGACGGGGCAGGCACAAGTGGCATCGCAACGGCCACTGTCAGTCCACCTGTGTCTGCCACCGCTTCTGCCAACCCTGCACACCCTCATTCTACACACAAGCACCTGCTACGCACCCGTGCAAAAGCTTCCGGCGAACAATCTAAGGAACTGCCAGCGAGTAACAAGACTTCGGGAAAGCATCATAAGAAAGATTCTACAACGGGTTCCTGCTCGAGTTCCAGGTAATTAACCTTCCGTCAGCTGATTCAGGATCATTTTTTACTCTTCTAAATAGAACTTGTGCTATGAGTCAATGATGACTCTGAGTTTGCTCGCTGTCGGATGGTTAAGCCGGGTACTCACTTAAGCTGGATACATCGTGTGAACGAACAAACGAATGTGAAATTGATCAATTGATCTGTTCGATCAATCGATCCATCAAATATTCGCGTTTATTGTTCATTTGGTGTGTATCCAGTTATAACAAATGCTCGTTGAAACAGTTTTCTCTTTTTTTGCAACATGATAACAAATTATACTATATGATTGACGTTGCAGACATCGTTCCTCATCGCGACTGAGGAAGCCGGTTGAGAGCGGTTCTGGTGGATTGAGCAGTGTGCTAATGTCAGGGAATGATTCCATCAGCGCCACATCGGTATCATCCGTTCCTAGCAGTCAATTAGTCTCAACTACAGGTGAGGAGGAGTCGGCATCAACTGCTACATCCGCCACAGGTTAATTGATGTTGACAAGCTTGATGTGTGTTCCAATATATATTTGTTAAATTACTTCGTAATTTAAAATATCGATTTTTTAAATTTGTGACACAAAGCTAGTGGAGGACCATCTGGATTGTCAGGTACGACTGGTGATAGCGAAAGTGACGATGGTGAAGTCGGTCGATTACAAGCTTTGTTAGAGGCTAGAGGTTTACCACCACATGTGTTTGGTGCTCTAGGATCTAGAATGCAACATTTGCTTAACAGAAGCATGGGCGCGAGTTCTGGTATGAAAATAATGGAATATTTCTCTTTCAATTGTTATGATTTGATAAAAAAAAAAAACTTTGCATACTTCACAAACCGATTACTTATTTATGTGTTGATTTTAATTGTTTTCAGCTGCTAAGGCACAACAGTTATTAGCCGGTTTACAAGCTGTTGACGATGAAGGAGAGCAACTACAAGCTGTTATGAACATGGGAGAGATTCTTGTAATGGGTAATGAGGATACTTTAACAGGCTTTCCTGTCAAACAAGTTGTAGCGGCTTTAATCAATTTGTTGGGAATCGAGCATAACTTCGCGATAATGACCCACGCATGTCGAGCTCTCACGTATATGATGGAAGCATTGCCACGGTCGTCTACCGTTGTTGTGGACGCGGTGCCAGTATTTTTACAGAAACTCGAATCAATCGAATGTATGGATGTAGCTGAGCAATGTTTAACAGCATTGGCCATGCTGTCACGCAGGCACAGCAAGACAATTTTACAAGCAGTATGTATAATCGTTCTAGCTTGCAAACTTTAACACAATTGATGAATTTTTTTTTATATACAATTACATATATTCTTTATATTAATTTATTTTTGCATTTCAAATATTTGAATTACTCTGCTTTAAAAATATTAGTATTCAATAGAAGTAATTTTACTAACTTTTTATTTCAGGGTGGAGTATCGGCTTGTTTAAAGTTTGTTGACTTCTTCAACATAACGGCGCAACGAGCAGCTTTGACGATCACCGCAAACTGCTGTCAAAATCTTAGTCATGAAGATTTTCATTTGGTAGCCGATAGTTTACCGTTATTAACGAGTAGATTGACGAACCAGGATAAGAAAAGTGTCGAATGTGTATGTCAAGCATTCAGTCGATTAGTTGACAGTTTCCAACAGGATCCTGTGATGCTACATAAGATCATCAATGCTGAACTTCTACAAAATTTGCAGCAACTGGTGCGCTTGTTTTCATTAAAATATTTACTTTTGTTCTCTTTTTTTATACATTATTTCGTACGTTCTTATTACAGCTTATGATGACACCTCCAGTCAATAGCACTTCGAATTTTATAACCGTACTACGAATGCTCTCTGTGATCTCGAATCGCTGTCCCGATCTGGCACAGTTGTTATTGCAACAAAATATAGCTTTCACGTTGAGTTACTTGTTGACCGGATCCCTGGAGGTCAAGACCGAAGATGTGGAATTGGTGCCGCGTTCACCGCAGGAATGGTTTGAAATTACGTGTTTAATTGAAGAGCTCATGCCTCCATTGCCAACAGACGGGATATTCAGTGTAAATAGTTTACTCGAACGGACTAGCAATCAACAGGAAACTGTCCAGTGGGAATGGCGCGATGAAAGGCAGTGTGCGCATCCGTTCAGTACTATAGATTCTAGGATTATTGAGGTACTTCTTTTTTTTTTCAAAAATAATTTTTGTTTACAAATACCCTAATCTATTGCTAGAAAGTCGAAGCATTGATTATGCGTGTTTTTCAGATGGCGTTTCAAAATGGTGAGGATGAAATTTGTCTTTCCTCTTTAGGGCGAACTTATACTATAGATCTGACAATGATGAAGCAAATTAACGAAGATGGTGGAATGGCAAGAAGTATATTTCGTAGAATAAACATCAATTCTCCCGAGGGGAAGAGTCCTACTTGCTCATCTAGGTGCGTTCAACTCTCGTAAAATTTGCGACTTTTCTTTAAAAAAAAAAAAAAAAAACATTATTTACATAATTGTTATATTTTTGACTGCAGTATGGATGTCGTACCTCCGGTAATCGAAACAAACGAATGGCTAGTGTCTTTCATTCGAACATTATTCTCTGTATTATATGAAGTTTATAGTAGTTCAGCTGGTCCTGCTGTAAAATGCAAGTGTCTCCGAGCTCTTCTTCGTATGGTGTATTATGCTTCAACCGATTTACTTAAGGTGAGATGAGATGCTGATATTACATATTTTCTATTCAATTTATTTTAACTTAATAACTCACGTGTTCTTGCGATATATTGTATTTACGTTTTTTTACGCAGGATGTTCTAAAAAATCAAGTGGTTTCATCGCATATAGCTGGTATGTTAGCGTCGCAAGATTTACGTATAGTTATCGGGGCTCTTCAAATGGCGAGTATCTTGATGAAGAGATTGCCTCAAGTGTTTGGGGTACATTTTCATCGCGAGGGTGTGCTGCATCAAGTTCGTCAGTTAGCAGATCCCGAAGTACCTCTTGGTGTTTCACCACCTAAGTGCCCTTCTGGTAATTACACCAAAAATTTTATTGTTATCTTCACATTTTCGTTATCGATTATTACGACATTTAGTGTTCCAATTGCATATTACGACATTTAGTGTTCCAATTGCATATATATGATTATTTGTTGATAACAAATACGAGATACTTGTTATACGTATCATAACGACATTTGTATTGTATGTATTTAGGTACATCATTACCAAGCCCACAGCCAGGTCCGTCTAATACACCACTTTCTTCCACCGCAATGTTGTCTTCTAGTAGTGCCACGTCTCCGGTTGTTTCTCCATCTTCAAATGGCAACATATTGTTCGGTACTATTCCGTCGTCATGCCAGTATAAACCAAACATCAGTGCTTCGTTAGAACACAGAACGGAGTTGAACAATAGCGTAGAAGAATCGAGTACACCGCAAAGTGCTCATTTGTTAGTATAATAAAATATCAAATCTGTAAAGAGATAATCATGATGCTAAATATTTAAAGTTGTGGTTTTTTTTTCACGTATTAGAAGAATCGGTGACGTGCTGAAGAGAAAACGGCAGAACAAAAAAGGTCGTTTCTCGAGACTGGGAGGTGCAACCACGCCGCAACAAGCGCAACCGGAGTCTCTCTTTACCGGTTTCACTCCGAAGAACAATCGATTTTTGGGGAATCTCAATCCGGCCAAATGGGGCCGCAAGTCATCATCGTCCAGCACTAGTAGTGACAAGAGAGACTCGAGCTCGTCCACCAACTTATCGAAACCACCGAGTAATCCTAGTTTAACTGGCGGAAATCGAGATAAGGCAAAAGCGTGGGTGCGCGAGCAAGCGGCCCAATTCCTGGCGAGATATCAGGACGATGCTCCTTGTTCTCATCCTGCTTTGACTGTCCTTGCTCGACTGACTGCTGCTATTCAACGATTACAATCAAATGTAAATGTAATGATCAATAGTGTTTACACATTTTTTACAATAGACCGTAATTTCTGTTTGTTTGCAGGAACTGGACGAAATGTTGTCAGCGCTAACAGAATTACGAGATATAGTTCTTGAGAGCGACATATCGCCCTTCGAAATGAATTACAGTGGTCTTATCAAGGCTTTGCTGAACTACCTCACTACTACAGATGCACCAGGCAATCGTTACGATCGCCTCCGTATGTTTTGGAAGTTGTTTGCCGAGTCCACTGTGAGTAGAACCGACTTTTTCTTTTTTGCATTTCAAATATATCCGCGCACATATTGCAAAATCCATAACATTATTTCCGTATACAGATGCAACAGAACTATGATATTGTGGATCTTAATCCCGGAGCGTTCGGTGCTCTGGTAGCAAAGTTGAATAGTTGCGTTGCACAGCTAGAACAATTTCCGGTGAAGGTTCATGATTTACCCGCGGGTTCTGGTGCTGGTCGCGGCGGTACCAGTGCTCTAAAATTCTTCAATACACATCAACTTAAGGTATAAAATTGAGCTTATAAATTCAGTTATATCTCAATCTTTCGAGTTTTCTGCAATCAATTCTATTATAAGTGTCATAACGCGAATGTTTTGATTGATTTGTAGTGTAATCTTCAACGGCATCCGGACTGTAATAATTTGAAACAATGGAAAGGCGGTACTGTAAAAATAGATCCACTTGCGTTAGTTCAGGCAATCGAACGGTATTTGATGGTACGCGGATATGGTAGAATACGAGATGCCGATTCGATGGTCAGCGATGACGACAACAGCGAAGACGATATTGACGACACTTTGGTATGTATTTTCTCATAGTTGTCCTTTGTTTCTTTGGAATCAATGGAAACTAATAAGATCACACAAAGTAAATAATTATAGTCACTCGTTGATTCCCTTTGCCAGGCGGCAGTTGTGATAAGTCAAGGATCAGCTAAACATAAGCTTCAGTTCTTAATTGCTGATCAAGTTCTACCTTTTAATATGACAGTATATCAAGCTGTCAGGCAGTTTGGATGTTCCGGAGTGGATCACTCTGAAGCAGAGGCTGATAGTGAACCGCCTCTTGGACACGACGCAGTATGGGTGCAGACACACACAATATATTACAGGTATTTTGAAGATACTTTTTGTCTCAACTTCTAACAATGTCTTTAAAAATAAACAAACGTGATTTGTTTATTCTCTTTTTTATTGATAATGTTTCTATACTTATAATTGGCGAAAAAAAAAATTTTAATTTTCTTTCGATACAGACCTGTACCAGAAGAGGATACTGTAACTTCCCCAAAATCAGGGTCGAGTTCACAGGGTAATAGCAGGAAGGGAAAAGGAAAAAGTACAAAGATTAGTTCGAAGAGGAAAGAAGACAGTTTGTGGCTAGAAGGGATAGTTCCATCTCAACACTGTCCTCTCGCGCCGTATTTGTCACCCACATTGCCACCCTCAGTGACCATTACGGATGCCTCTCTCGACGGGTTGTGTCTGCTGCGACTTTTGCACGCTCTCAATCGTCACTGGGGCATATTGTTCCCTCATCTGAAGAGCATGAGTTTATTGTCGCCTCAGGACTTTATTAACACCAAGATCGCTGCAAAAGCTAGCAGACAGTTGCAGGACCCATTGGTGATTATGACTGGAAATCTACCGTCTTGGTTACAACAGATAGCGACTGTCTGGTGAGTATAATTAGTAAAGCATTTTTGGATGTTTTTTTCCTATTTTCTTTTTTCTTTTTCTTTTTTTTTTCTTTTTTTTGTTGATAATTCAGAATTTGTTTCCAATAATCTGACGCAAAACGTTTTGAAATTTTAGTCCTTTCCTCTTCCCATTCGAGACAAGGCAGCTACTGTTATACGCTACGTCATTTGACCGAGACAGAGCTTTACAACGTCTCTTAGATTCTGCACCGGAACTTTCGGGTTCTGACAGTCAAGAGCGCGTTACGCCACGTTTAGAACGAAGGAAGAGAACTATTTCGAGAACGGATATTCTTAAGCAAGCCGAGCAAGTGATTCAAGATCTAGCTTCCAGCAAGGCGTTGCTTGAAGTGCAATATGTCAACGAGGTTTGTCACTTTTTGTGTATGTTTCGTTTTAGATTATTAAATTAACATTACAAATCTTTAACTCAATATGTTTTTGCGCGTATTACAGGTCGGTACCGGCCTCGGCCCAACTTTAGAATTTTACGCTCTAGTCTCTAAGGAACTTCAACGCGCTGATTTGGACCTGTGGCACGGTAGTTCCAATCCTGCCGAAGACGGATACGTTAATCCTTTACACGGGCTTTTCTCCGCGCCCATTCCATGGAATACTAAAGTATCTCATCTAGCTAAATTAAAAACGAAGTTTAAATTTCTCGGAAAATTCATGGCGAAGGCAATATACGATTCTAGAATGGTATGTATGAAAATTACTTGTCTGCTAAATTGCTCGACGAATTTTACCACGATTGTTCGTCTAATATACGTTACTCTCTTCTTTCAGTTGGACTTACCATTTAGTTTAACCTTCTATCGCTGGTTGTTGGGAGAGGAACATACGTTCACTTTAGCGGATCTGGCACACGTGTGTCCGGACGTGTATCGTACTCTTAGCAAACTCCAAGAAGTTGTAAGAAAGAAGGAAGCTATGGAAAAGGATCAGACGCTGCAATCGAACGAAAGAGCTCAGTTAATCGAATCGCTCGAGTTGGACTCTTGTCCAATTGCTGATTTGGGCCTTGTGTTCGAGTTGCCAGGTTACGAAAATATCGAATTGAGAAAGGGTGGTAGTGAGATACCGGTTACTATTCATAATCTAGATCAGTATATTAAGGTAAGTATGGAAAGGTAAACGACAGATCGCTCTCGACGCTCTCGACGTTTTTGATAGTGTTGCCTAAAGGTATTATGTGATTGACATACACGTGATTTCTTGCAAAATTCCAGTTGGTGGTACACTGGTTCTTATACGAAGGAGTGTTCAGACAAATGGAAGCTTTTCGCGAAGGGTTTGAATCGGTATTTCCTCCGTTGCAATTACGATTATTCTTTCCGGAGGAACTTGAAGCGGTATTCTGTGGACACGCACAAACTGGCGGACAATGGGATGTAAAAACTCTTGCCGAGTGCTGCAGAACCGATCACGGTTACACATCTGATTCGCGCGCCATTCGTTTCCTCTTTGAGGTCATGTCGAAGTACAACAGCGAAGAGCAGCGACAGTTCATTCAGTTTGTTACCGGTTCACCCCGTCTACCCGTTGGAGGTTGATATATACATAACATTTTCAAACTTTATTTGTCGAAGTATAACAAAAGATGTTAATTTGTTTTCCGGGTTTTGCATTTTTCAGGTTTCAAAAGCTTAACACCACCGTTAACAATAGTACGCAAGACCTTCGATCCGTCTATGAAGACAGATGATTTTCTACCATCAGTAATGACTTGCGTAAACTATCTAAAACTGCCTGATTACACTACTTTGGAAATAATGAAAGAAAAATTGCGGATAGCTGCGCAAGAGGGCCAACACTCGTTCCACCTCTCCTAGAAACAGATGAAAGAGCGTCTTTACTTTTCTCTTTACTTTTGTATTATTCACGTCCAACAATTATTCGAACTTACTTGACATCTACGTGAAATTTGTATGTGTTTTGGTAGATGAGTACAGTAATGACTACAGTAGGTGTTTTACCTCCCGTTTACTTTTTCGGAAATTCTTTCCATTTCTCTGTTTTTTTTTTTTTTTTTTATTTCGTTATTTCTTGAAACAAATTTATCGGAACATTTTCTCTCTTTTTGATATTTATATAAAATGATTACGATTTGGAGTGTAATATATATACTTTGACCAGAAAGAAAAAAAGTGCAAAGCTACATAATTAATTACCGAATCGTACGAGTTTTCACTGGTACGAGTAGTTCGCGAGCAACCTCTCGTTCTAAGGAAAACAAAAACTTATCTCTTCAGTGTGTTACAATAAAAAAAAAAGAAAGAAAAAGATTTGTAAATATAGTCTTAATATACGCAAGTCGATATAAATACTTTATATAATAGTAAACGAAAAAATATTGCTCTATAAAATACTACATTAATTAAATATAATAGCCCGAGATCCGGAGGAGAACATTTGCTAAACATAAGTAAATTTTATATCAGTGATGATGCATTTTTGTTTTGTGTTAAGGCATCGCCATACGTCGCCAGTTTTTCCGCGCGTTTCATAATCCGCGCGGAGGAAAATAAAATAAAATAAAATAAAATAAAAACAAAAAAAAAACAAAAAAAAAAAAATCTCACGAGCTAAAATCAGTAAGGGAATGCGCACGCGTTTACGACGGAAATATGAAGGCGCGCGTCTCATCGTTGGAAACAATGCTAATTCCAGACACACACAGATACATACATACACATACACGCAATACACCGTGTTGTGTCTCTCGCTGCTATCCTCTATTTTATAAACGATCTCTGTGTTCGCTGCTTAAGTTCCAATGTGAATTGTAATGCGCGCGGATCACGTTTCGCGCGTACGCAAAAAAAAAAAACTCCTAATTTAAGTTTAATCAATGTGTAGCATTCATTATAATAATAATTATTATTTGATATTTTTATTATAGGTAAAATTAGTCCAATTATTACTTTTATTTAGCGGTGTAAGAGTGCAACCAGAAAATCGTCAAGAATCGCCGTTGCGACATGTGTGAAATCGAAAGAAAATTCCGATACCCCATTTACTTACAGGCAGATCATCATATTTATGAAACAAGAAAACAAAAATGTAAAAGAATTGTACGAGAGATACGAAATAGAACGGAATATAAAGTCAAAAGCTGTGGTATATAAAATGGATAATATGAGACACATTACTTTCTTATATCATTACGGAAATGCGGAGTTCTAAAAAAAAAAAAAAAATAAATAAAACAAAACTTGAGAACGTGTGTGCGTATGTACGTATGTGAGCATACATGGCGGTTGAAAAACCGTTTATTCCAAATGATCAATTTTCACTATTTTGTTTGCATTTTTGAGACACAAATTACTCAAGAATCGCTTACTTTTTTTTTGTTAACCAAACTCGAGAGTGGTTGTCATATAATTTAATCTTACGCTATTTTCTGAATGAGGGCCTGAGCACAATAGAAAAAATATTAGGAATAGGAATTAAAAACAGAGGTTAAATGTAATGTACAATGCGAAAAAATTAAAATATAACATTTAAATGTATATAAATATAAGCCGTATATCATGTATATATATAACCATGACATACTTTCTGTATTTATATATTATATTTTTCGTTATTGTATAGTACATTTAACTTCTATTTCTAATTCTTATTCCTAATATTTTTTCTATTGTGCTCAGGCTCTCATTCACCAAATCGTGATATCCGGAATTTTTTTTCTTAGATTTACCACATATTTGTAAGTTACATTATTACGACTTTTGACTGTGAACACTCAAATTTTTATCGCGTTTTTTTTTTTAATTTTGTGTGACAATGAATGACGAATGTTGGTGCGCAAGGAATTAACCATTGACAAGGAGCTTGAGTGTGTGTCGTTATAAAGTGTGTCAGTTCAGAATATGCAATTCAAATCCATGTCATTAATATAAACAAGTTATATTTATATCAATTCAGTAGTATAAATTTTACTTTATTCAAAATCTCTAAGTTTCATTTTTCTTAAAAGCCTTCGATAAAAATTACACACCATTGAAAAAAAAAAAACTTATTTTTGCTCATAAGAGGAATGTATCTCCTAAACTTTATAAAATAAAAATAATCATATACATTAAATCTCGGAGAACGGGGTCCGGGTCATTATTGACCAGCGCGCGTTCTAACAAATTCAAGACAACACTTCATTACACGATCTGTAAATTAAAAAATTTTTCAGCCGTACTTATTTAATATTGTGCAGTAAAAGAATCATCTTTTCAACTCCCTTAATCACATCTTTGTCCCCTTTTTATAAATTCACATTTATGTACTTATGTGCGTAACTGAAAGGATCACATCTCTTGTTTGTGTAAAAATTCTTAAGTTTACATTGATATTTAGAGAAGCATGCTGCACCATCCCAATATAAGACAAAATCCTCCAAATGGCGGTATTCTCTTGAATCTCAGATCATCAGTAAAAGCAGTATAATAACAACTACCACTAAACAGTACAATTCCAGAAAGAAAAAATGTAGCAGCCTGCAATACATATGTGTGATTACCATTGGTTTTAGAGATACTTCTAGAGTTAAAAAATATAATGTTCTCTTAGTTTACCACGAATGGGTATTTGCACAGTGGTAATCCTAACAATGCCAAAGTGTGTATGAAGTGAAACCGATTTGCAGTTTCAAAGATACGACGTTTTTCTACTCCTGTCTCATCTTTGGGATAATGTCCTGCAAAAAACAAAGAATTAATGTGAATTAATAAAAACAGAATTGATACAGGTTTAAAATATAAGACAATAAATCTTTTTTTTTTACACACATGTGCAATTTCATTAAAACATTTTTATAAATATAATTTTATGCTTTATACAGACAATAATAAAATATTTAATTACTATGTGATCCTACTGCACCAAGTATCACAGCTGCAGCACCACTGATAGCTGCAAGTCTTACATATGGTCCGGTATTAGCAGCCAATTTCCATAAAGGTAGAGGTTCTGCCATTATTATATCAACTTTTGGTCTTAAACCTAGATAATTAGGTGCCTATAAAATAATATTGTTGAATTACTATATATTATTTTTCATATAAAAACATATAAATATATATTATAAATTTGTATAAATTGCAATTTATGCTGTCGACACATTATTGAGTTTTGTGCACTAATTTAGACAACTAAAAAGACAAACTAATTTTGTGCGTACGTATCAAAGATTTTATGTATTTTTCTGATCTAAACATTAACCTGTAACTCAACAAGTCCATTTTACTAAGGTTAACCGTCTATTTATTAGCAGTGCTATTTGTGTTTTGATTTTTTTTAACATACGATTTTACCATACGTTTTTTATTTAAACATGCACGTGTATTTGATTTTGTGTGTGCAAAAGCTAAAAATATTACACATACTTAGTTAAGTAGTTTATCAAAAAGTAGACGATCGCAGGTGTAAAATCTCTGTTTGTTAGTTTACACAAACAAACAGAAACATGCAACACAGCTTACCGACGCAACTGTATTCCACGCATACGAGGCAGCCCCTACACCTGTTTTTTGTATGACATTCAAAGGTACAGTAATAGCCGTGTAAACGGCGTCTTGCAAGCCCATTTTCGAGAACGTTACTATACCGAATATGTATATATGTGTATAAGCAAGCTGCAAGCAAAATGTATATTGTGCGCTGTGAAATGTATATATCACCTACCAAGAACTCTATACACTAATATTAATATGTTACTTCCGACCCGACACGCTCCGGTTAAACGAACAAAATAAAATGACGAACGAATTGACAATAACGAGCAAACTGATGAGGTAAGCGCCATCTTGGAAGATTTGCATTAAAATTTTTGAAACATCCTTTTCAAAAATTCGTTCGTAATAAAGTATATTTATTCATCGGAATAGATGAAAGGAAGCATAAACACTGTGAGCGTAGAAATTTTTGAGAATGTCATTTATTATAAATCTCTCTTCTGATGCTACAATTTGGTCTCAGTCTTTAATTAATTGTAAGAACAATTACTTAAATCTATAGGAAGCAAAGAGTGTTACTACACAAGTAAGTATTAAACGTTATTCATTTGAGACGTTGGAGTTGACGGATTTTCCCTCTCTGCTTGCATATAAAATTGCTCTCCAAACCATTCTCTATGCATCTCCAGGTAACTGCATAAATACACATTACATTATTGCTAATCTTTTGATGTGTGTATATAAAAAACAATTTTTTGATTATATTTCTTATTGATGTAAAAAGCTGTAATATATACAGTGTGTTTTTAAGTATAATAATTATTATTATTATTACCTGAGGAACATATCCAAATATTTCAAAAGTACTTTCAGTTTCTTGCTCTGTATATCTGCCGACTGGAGTAGCTCAGGTAATTTGACTAGAAGTAAAAAAAATTTACAATTATGATCTATGTTGTTAAACAAAAAAGTATGTTTATTGTAGACGTAATGAATTAGCGTATCTACAACGCTGATCCGTTACGTCTACATTGCAACTTCAGGTCCGCGTCTAAATATAAATTTTATTTACCGAATAATCTCGTTAAATGAATAGCACCGTAGTAAGTAGACGGACTTGGTGCTTTCTCAAGTTGCATTGAACCTTGAGGCATTAATCTCCATTTATTCGATTGCTGAAGTAAAGCGTTTACTTGCGCGGATGTAACAGGCGGCATTCTTAGTGTTACACCTCGCGGGCTAGAACAACGGGAACTTGTACTTGCTATGCTACTAAAACAAAACAATCACAAAAACATTATATCTAGTTTGAAAAAGCGAGGAAAATAAAACTTCATATATTATTGCAACATAATTCAAACGAATGAGGTAAATTTCCAAAAAAAGGAAAATTCGCAAAAAAAGAAAAAAGGAAAGGATGCAAAAAAAAAAAAAAAAAACTAAATTTATAAAAAAATATAAATACGATAAGAATACTTGAGATAACTTGGTTTATATACCTCGATAAATTGCCACCATCTTGCTTTCCTTCGTCGTAAGATCTCAATTGTCGGCTTTCGTCGACTGAACTTACACGACACGATCGTAACCGTCGCTTAGAACTATTTAATTTAGATGTGTTGTCTAATTCTGAATCTTGATCTTGAAAAGGTGGCAAGTGAGCATATTCTGTTTCTTCAAGTTCTTCTTTTGCGGACGTTTCTAAGTTTCTAACGAAGGAATATATAAATCAAAACATCTTTAATTGAATCTTTGAAGAAATTTTAATGTGTGTAATTAATAAAGAAAAATTTACTCGATTAAATCCTCTTTTGCGACACCAGGTCGTTCATTACTTGATGAGAAGGACTTTGGAGAAGAATATTGCTCTCTTTCTTGCCTATATAGGAGAAGATGAGGTAGTGTGAAGTCAAAATATATACGTAAGCCATCAGCAACTTCTCTACATAGATTCACATCGTTTACTGTTTTTTCTAATGTATTATTTGTTTTATTTCGTTGAGGCTTTTCTGGGATATTCGTTAACTGCGTTGTAGTAAAATGGTGTACCCAGGATTCCAAAATATTTATCACAGTAGGTTGTGCAGGCAGAACTACAAGCTGAATATAGATAATAGTGATACTAGTACTTTGTAATTTACATATAATAATTCCGGTTTTTAAAGTCAAAAGTAGTTTTATTTTAAAATACCTTGTTTTTATTTGTTATCAGGTCATGATCTTGCTCTAAAATCCGTTTCAATGTGTTACCTATATCAAGGTCAATTCCTGGCTTTATACTAGCTCCTGACTGGCTGCCTCCACCACTGTCTTCGTCGTCACTTGATTCACCCATGTAATCAGAACTACTCTCTGTATCTTCTTCTGTGTTTGCTTCCTACATGAATATATAAAACAATCCTTGAACTTTGCTTAGTTTTTATTATACAATTAAACTCTTCTATTCTTGACAAGTTGTTTTTACATTTTTTTATTTATATTTATATTGGGTTGGCCTTTTCGTATTTTAATACGAAGTTTGATTTAAAAATACGAAAAGACTTTCTGACCAACCCAATATTTGTGTCTCGTATTTACTTCTGTGTCATAATCAGCATGTTGCCCGGAACTGCCATCTTCTGAGGAACCAGTAGTGGCCGAAGTAGCTCTGCTACCACCACTCCTTGCTCGACGACGTGGTTCCTGATGCTCAGTTTCAGTTAAACGTTCTGACATCTTATGATTTCGTTTTTTGCGCTCACGGCGATATAAATAAGCGCCTCTGTTTTATTCCAATATAAAATATATTATCGCACACAGTTAATTCCTTTAGTTTAAGTAAATTAAATTTAAATACATACAGTTGAAGTTGTGCCTTCTGTGCCAAATCTCGTTGAAGTTGGCGATTTTCTTCTGTGTCTTTAAGTACATATTCTTCTGTCACACAACGGTCCCAAGACGAATTCCAACCCTTATATGATAATTATATGTAAAAATATCAATTATATTTTCTTTTACATATATATAAATACAGGATGTTCCCAGGATCTTCCGTTTAGACTGTGCCAGTATGTTCTATGAACAAAAACAAGGAAAAAAATGTTATATGAACATAGGTGTGTTAAATGTTTTTTGTTACAAAGTCATAATAAAAATCTGAAGTTTAAAAATACACAAATTTCTTAGTATTGAGCAACAATATTTAACTAATCTGTGTTTATGCAAGTTTCGTTCTTTATTTCAGATTGTTAGTTTCATTAAAGATGATCTCACATAAATTTCTTAATATTAATAACTATTATATCAGTAAGTCTTACAACTTTGTTGCAAAATTCCACAATTATTTTCAAATGAAGATTATGCAGATATCCATTTCATCTATGAATTGTGCAACGGGAGTGCTTGTGCTGCTGTGAGAGAGTATCAGCGAAGATTTCCTAATAGAAGAGCATTTTAATTTTGTTATAACTTTGTAACACAGAACATTTATGTTTAACAAAGACCTATGTTCACATATTACTTTTTTTTTCTTAGAACACAATGGCACAATCTGAATAGGAAACCTTGGACATCTTATATACATACACACACAACACGCAGTCTTGTATTATTGTTTTGATATAATTTCACACACATTGAGCTAAATATAATATTAATTGAGGTTTTATGTCTTACCTGAAAATGTATGAGATATTCCACTGCTTTTTTGCCTCTTTGATCTTTATTTACAATGACATCAAGTACCTGTAAAGTAATTTTTATTACTATGATTGTTATGCGACTTGACATGTCACTTTTGCTTAGCGTATATCGTTAATTTTTTTTAAATTGTCTTGCATTTAATTTCGATTTTTGCAAATAAGTAATTGCTTTATGCGTGTCAACAGAGCACACGTATTTATGCGCTTAGCAAAATATGTAACACTACCTTCGAGTCGTATAATACTTTTGCTTTCGTGGGATCTGGCTCGTAGCATAACACTTTTTCTCCGTCACAAAACTTCACCTTCAGTCCTCGCGTTGACACCATTGTTACAACAATATAACTAATATTTGTTTACACAAGTATTTAAAATACATAGAGGAAGAACGCTAACATAACCTAACAAACAACCACTCGGAAATATACACCCGACCGAGATCGGTGAGTATATTTAGTATTCACATTAATACGACGCGATTCAATCGAATTTCCACAAATTGTTTCAATACTAAATCAATTCGACTGTTATTTAATCAATGTTTACTTCAATGTTTTTAAAGTTCCGGTACCGTTCAGCGTCGTGTACGGCGTCATACATTTTTTCCCCTCCTGAAGTTGGATCTTTCTTGGAGCAATTTCCTACAAATACGTCATGAACCACGTGACCGATCTCGATTGTCGCATTGTCTCTTTAAAACTGAAGCAATTTCACGCGAGAGAAAAAACGGCTCCAACAACTGTGTGCTTATGAGAATTACTTGCTTGAAAAATTACAAAAAGCGATTGGAAACAATGAAAAAGAGAATAGTTGAAAAGGTGAGCAGTTTAATCAAATAAGTGTAATGTATATGCAATTATACATATAGTGCTGAGAAAGATGAAAGACGAAGGAGAGAGAGAGAGAGAGAGAGAAAAAAAATAGTTTTGCAAATATATGTGGTTGTTTTATACATTTTTTTACTTTTATTTATGTATGTATATATATATTTTTTTTCAATTTACATATATATATATTTCTCATGATCACAAAGAAGAATACATATATATTTATAGTCAGTAACGATCATATACATATATACTTCTTATTATCGTTCACATAAAGATTTTTATCGTATACTATACACGACAGGAATACTTGTATATCAATTTGTATGTTTTGCGAACGTGAAAAACATAAATGTTTCCCTTGTTCGTCTTCTCTCGTGAAGTTCTACGTGTATTTTCAATGAAAAGATTTCAATGAAAAAGGAAAAAGTATATTATTAGGTTTATTTTCTTTCCCTGCACTGGCTGCACTAGTTTACAGTCTATTTTTTCTCTTATCCATATTGGAAAGAAAAATATCAACTCCGAACTACCAGTGCAGCCAGTTCAGAGAAAGAAAATAAATTTCTTAACATTTACATACGCAGTGTTTTGCGCGTTTTGTGTGCAAAAAATTGAGAAAATGATGATTGGATTGTCGGTAAGTGACGAATGTTTGATTTGAGACGGACGTTTTAAGTGTACATTGTCGTGTGTTTAAAACAGTTTAAAACAGTTAATCTTCATTCAAACTATGGAAAACCCATCATCATCGATTGTTCCTCGTTGCCTTCATTGTTTTGTGACATCAGTTTCCTTTCTTCTATTAGATTCGTTCTCTCCTTGTCTGCTATCTCCTGTTGGCGATGAAGTCTTTCCAAAAAAGGATGGCTATGATCAAAAGATAAATTTAAAAAAAATGGCTACGATCAAAAGATACGTCACGTTTGTTACATACTTAATTGATTGTATATTGTAAGTTTGACTAACAAGTGACAGAGATTAGTCATTTACTCAGAAGTCGTTTATTTATACTTTAAAACTTATATTCTAACAATATTGATTATTATACAAATAGTTCTTGGATACTCGTTGCTCTTTAGACGATAAAGTCAAGAAACAAAAAACAATATCAAAACAGAAAACATATCACTAATACCTACAAAGATTGAAAAATTATCACTTGTTAGATATATCTTTTTGAAACGTAATATAAATTTTGAGAAATGTATCACTAAGTGATAAAATTTCTCAATCGTTGTACAATACCATGTTGTTTTTTTTGGAACTGTTGAATTTTTATGTTTATATAATTTATAATGTGTTTATATAATTTTTGTAAATTTTTCTGTAAACGTAACTAGTATGTACACAACAATTTGCTTCGCGAGAGAAGAAGAAACGGCTGATCAGCCTACTCGCGGCAGCAGGAAAAAGCGTAGCGTATCAACAATAGAATCTCTGTCTCTTCTCGCGAAGAGGATTGTTGAAAACTTTCGTACGTCTAAAGTTACCGCGATTCGCGATAGAACAAAAAAAAAAACATTTTTGTACATGAATTATTGACTCTCAGTCGATAGAGCGCGTTCGCAAAATCGAAAACTGTATTTTCGAAAATTCTACTTTCAGTTCGTGTAAACTAATAATAAACATGTCAGTCTGTCGGTGAAAAACTTATTTTCACTGAAAAACACACGTACAACGGAGATCATATGTTGCATTAATGAATAAAAAATACTTGACAAGAAAGGAGTTGCGAATTTGTGCGAATGTATTTTACCGATTGGAAGTAGATTTGCATGTAGAAAGTTTTATTTTTTCTAACGTGAATTGCAGCCGTTTTAAGCGATTTAAATTTGTGTAAATCAACTTACGTAAGCACACGCTGAAGTAAAATATATTACAAAAAATTTTTATTAATCTGATGGAGTTTTATCTTTAAGCTAAAAGAAGAGCAAATGAAAGAGAAGAGAGATGCTGTAAATTCGATCTGATGCAAAATTCCAACAAGATCGGATGAAATATACGTAATCTAATTTTGTCGTACTTTGTCATTTTTAGAATTTGTGGAATACTCACTCCTCTGGTAATTTTTCTTGAAATCTTTCTTTCATCATTATTATCAGAGCTTCCTCGGGAGTCATATCCTCCGAAATGATCCTCGGAAACAATCTTGAGACATATCTCTTGCCGAATCCGATTGCTGTGGACATTTGGTTTGGTTTAAAACCGCACGAGTCTCTCAGCTTCGTACGATGTTTTAAAAAGACGTTTCTCGGTTTCAAAGTAAAAAATCTTTGCAAATTCCTGATGTCTTCGGCTGTCGTCAGGATGAACAACCCCGTCACAAAAACGAACATGGCTAATGTCGCACGCATGATTTCCTGACGTAAGAAGAAAACGACATATGGAGGACATATAATTCATCGAACGCGCGACATCGAATCAGCATAAATTATAATATTGTGAGTTACACCACATTATTGAGCGATCGTTAAGAACGAACTGTTTCTTCGCAAAATGTAAATTTGTTAATTGTGCTTAAATAATTGATTCAACATATTGTCATTTCTTGTGATTTCTGAACGCGGAACGCGAAGATTTTCTTGCGAGATTTTGCAAAACGTCGAAGTACTTGTGTACTACTTATAATTATTTCTATTGATGTGCATGCATATACGCAATATCTTGTGCAACACTTATAACACATCTATCTTAATTTGATAAATTTTTATACTTACGGGACGATGTGTGCGCGGCGCGCAACAGAAATTGATTTTATGTGTTATAAATATAAAAAATAGAAAAAAAAGTTATAAACGCGACTGTTTATTAAAATGGAAAAAAATACTAATATAATCGGTATGACATATAATAAGATTCGCGTAAACTCTCACAGAGAGACGAACTATTATATGTGCGGCGCGTTATTTGTTTTTTCTGCTGCTGCCTTCTTCTTTTTGACGGCTCCAAAACGACTCATAGCTGTTCAAAACTTTGTTTCCAAGAAATCTCGCACACGGTTTCCTCGAAAACAAGTACAAGCAAACAATATTGCTCATCTGTGAACAGCTGATTGGCTAAACACAAGTATACGTAGCCTTCCGAGCCATACCAAACTCTCGCGACAAATAATATTTATCTGTTTTTTTTTTTTTAAAATAACGACAATTTTTTTACGAAAAATAATATACGCGATTTTATTTATACATACTTACGTGCTTTAGTATATATTTTAAAAGATATACTGTAAAAAATAAAATGTATATCTGCGCGCATATTAAAATTAATTGAGTAGAAGAAAGTCGCCGATATATTAGTTTGATTTTGATAGACATCTCTTGTTATAAAAAATGATTTCGATCTCGTAACAAATATACGCACTTTGTTTCGAAGAACAACTCAGTGTAATAGTCGAGGGTAGACACGTTTACAGCCAAAGTTCTATAAAAGATTGCCCCATGGACTGCTCGTCGCAAAGTCATACCGATGTTCGGTTATCGATATTGCTCTCAATAAAAATTTCCGGCTTCTGATTAGCCGATTCAGTGTCAACGCTGTCAACGAGAAAAACACAGTGTCCTATCAAAAGTCACTAATCAAACAATTAATCAAAGTTATTTCACGTATCTTCTTCTTGTTTATTATTAATTTTAATTTTCATTTCACGTATTTTGAAGATAAAAGCCAAAGTACTATAGAAAAATGAAAATAGTTTACTTGAAGAATAGAGTTTGGACATTTTCAAGAGAAAAGATGAGTTTTAGGTCGAGTATAAAATATTATTTATAGACTTTCCGACGTGTAAACTTCGATGTAACAATTACGAAATTAAATTAGCGATTGCTCTTTAAGAGACGCAAAACTTACTCTAAAAAATTTAATTAAACTTAAAAAATACCCAACGCAATTTATCTCATGGTGCAACTTTACGTGCGCTACACAACGAACGATCGTCCAAACTACGCAATTGAGACTTTTTTTCTGCGGGCGATATTGGTTTAAAAACGCGACAAATCCAGATATGAAAAAAATTTGTTGGAAAGATGTCGACTTGATCCGTACGTGTCGAGAACTGGGTTTCGAGAAAGCGTTTCTCGTCGTTTTGTACACAGCCGCCGACGTCGGCGTCGCGACCGCCGGCGACGCCGTCCTAGCCGCCGTCGACGCCGACGAAACGTATTTTACGTTAATTTCTCAAATGTGTCCAATCCAATCGATATTTTATTGTCGCGCTGAAATCTCCGGTGATGAGATGGCCGCAAATTACATTCCGTAAAATCGCATTTAAATGCATAACACGACGACGTGTGTAAATAGGCGCCGAAACCGCCGTCGTCCTACCGCCACCGCCGTCGTTGTACGTCATCATGTCTAGCCGCCAATGCGTATCTGAAATTTCCCTGCAGTATTTAGCGATACTCCCTCTGAGGACGTTTTTCGTGATGACAATACCACACCCAGGCTTTTTATCTAATTTATACGGCAAGCCTTGCTCGATCGCACTTCTACGAAAATGCTCACGTCAGAACGATTAATTTAAAAATAAAAATTGAAGCGCATTCAATTAAACAAATGGTTAAATAATTAAATAGTAGTTTGTTGAGTCCCTCGGTTTGTTTTCAGACAACACGATATTTTCGAAAAATAAGAGAATTAATTTTTTTCCATCTTTTTGTTTTATTTACACAAAATATAAATTTTTACATGTTTTTACACATATATATGTATTTTATATATATATATATAATAATGTAAAATAATTTTACAATATATATATATACGCGTAACATTTTCAATCATAATATTATTTTGTCAGTTTAACAAGAAAGTGGTCTAAAATGACGACGGGTATTTCCTTGAGAATAAGAGAGCGCGGAATGCCAGAATATTTTACAAACAATTCCAGAAAGTGAAGATTAGTGGCTGCTTCAGTTTCAGCATCGCTTCCTGGTTTTATACTAAAAACAAAAGAAAGAAGAAAGATGAAACATTTTTGTTAACGACACGTTTACGTGTAATATTGAGAATATATAAAGGATATTCTCACCTTTCCATAGTGACAAATGACAGAATGTACATGCTAAGATATTTCACGTAACGATTCATCACAGAAACATGAAATTGTCGAAGAATTGTTTGTATACCTATCACAAACACTACAGCATCAACGGGATCTTGATACTTCTTGCTTAAAAGACTCGCTAAAACAACGAAGAAAAATAAAATATATATTGTCATATATAATTTTTTAAATATTTTTATATACGTATGATAAATACCTATAGATTTGCAATAATATAATTTATTTAACTGCGAAGCTGTAAACAAGAATATAACAAGCGCTATATTGTCTATCCTTGGAGGTTTTATATAAACTTTGTTATGCGGATCACTGATGCCAGCCCAGTCTAATCGCACGCTGAGTTCGTGAAGCAATTCGCTTTTCTGCGGTTCAGTTTCGTTACTGTTATCCTTCTTTGCGATCTCGCATAAAATCGCTCTATGTAGAAAACGAAAAAATGAAACGGGAAATCGAAAAATTTATTCCCATATACATAAATTTTCACATACGTGTTTAATGTTCGCAGTGCCGATTCCATGTGTTTCGCCTCGAATTTGCAAGCGGTGTTTAACTCGTATGCTATTTTTTTTCTGAGCAATTGATAATGACCTATTTTCAACATCCACTCAAGCGCTGACGACCATAATTTGCTGCCGCCGGCAGTTATCGTATTATGAAGTTTCGCGATATTACCTGAAGTGCGTGTACGAAAGTATGTAATCGAGAGACGGCAGTGTGTATATGTATAGTAATTTATATTATTGATCTTTGTTTATATACTCTTTTCCACACTGCGAGTGTTGAATTCTTTCTTACTTTTAGCGCTGTCTAAAGAACTTAGTGTAGCCTCGAAATCCTCCAAAACGGACGTCCACGTTTTGTTTCGCATATTTTTTTCTATATAATGACTCAAAGCTTCCAGTTCTATGACGATAAAAAATGATATTAATTTATCTAATCCCGCCAGTCCCGGTGTGCCTATCGTCTCTAATATCACGGAGAAGACTTTGTAACTTAACACTTCATTCTGTGTTTTAATGTCGTACCACGCTAGGGAATGTTCTATGTACACGGTAGTTCTGAAATAACAAATAATTAGGATTATTAAAAAGTCATCTAGTTTTGTTACTTTAGAGAAAATAAATCTAGATAAAAAAATATATATATATATACCGTGGATCAGTTATACGAATAAGCTCTTTGGCAAGTCTGCCCATAAACGTTAGGGAAGTATTGTCTGTCGAAATTGCGTGCCTATCTTCCTGAAATTGTCTCCATGACTTTCTTCCTGGTATCCAGGAAGAGCCTCTACGCTCTTCTTCCACCGCATTGTTCATAATATACGTGATCTAAGGATTTATATATAAAAATACATGTGTATATCATAGTGTGTGTGTGTGTGTGTGAGATGATGATCAAAACATATATATGCGTGTAATTTGAGAAGTACTGTAATTCTCTTACTTCTTCGTGCCATATCTTCAAACTGTTTATATTAATATAATCCTGAATATATTGAAAAGACTTTCTGTACCCATCCATGATCGAGGACAAATTAGACAATTTTTGTAGAAGAGATGTCTGAAGAAAAATATTTGCCAATTTATCCAGCCGTGCACGTTATCTCTTGAAACAAAGTTATCTCGTTTATTAAAACTCACTTTCGACTTCTGATCGAAATTTAAGCCGTTTTGTAATGCCAGAGTAACTTTCTTAACAAGTTCCTGACGTATACCATCCTCCAAGAGACGATGCGAATCAACTCTTAAAACTCCCAAAGAAACACTTCTGAGTGACAAAACGCCCTTTGTAAAAACTGACACGGAATACGTTAATTTGGCCATCTATTAGAAAAAAAGTGAGATTAATTCAAATTAATTTGATCATACAGCAACACAAAAAGAATCGAGCAAAATTATACCTGCAGTCTATCATCCGGTTGCGCGTAATCCTTGAGTTTATCTTTGGGCAGTTTGGTCGGAATTTCCTTAAATGCATTTGTCTCGAGATGGACTATCTGCGCCAACAATCCGAACACAGTTTCGGGTATAATTTGCAAAACACGTCTAGCGTATCCTTCCAATTCTCTACTGTAGTACTGAGACACCGAGGATAAATCCGCGCTTCGTGCTTGGTTTACTCGCAGCAACGGAGTTTCCAATGCTGATGCCATCTTAAAACATCCGCATATATAAGTTACGAAAAACGTACAACTGTATACTTAAAATTGTATAACGTTCAACTATATTTGTACTTTGAGAAAGAGAGCTTTTAGTTTGATGACAGTTGGCGGATTTCCCTTTATGCTCTCTTGCATCACATCGACAAAAGATTCCATAATGTTCCACGCGTAACAACAATCTGTCACGATGTTCAAGCTTATCATTATATCTTCAGATATGCTACCTGTACGCAACATATTCCGTAAGGTCTCGCGTGTATCGGCCAGATATTGCGAAATATGTAGATTATTCTCTAACTGATGAAATTCTGAAAACATTGTAAATACATAAGTTTAAATATTATATCATTGTATATGACGGATCTCTATCGTAGAAAAGATGTTCCATTAGCTTTGCTTGTTCTCACCATGAACTTGTTCCAATGCTTGCAGTAACTGCACTATTTTTCTCCCATCTTCCTGCTTCAACGAATCAATGTGCTTGCTTATTTCCATGAACCACGTGTAAAGATTTTGGTTTTTATCGATCCCGTCGAGAGGTTTAGCGCCATCGAAGATTTGTGCAAGATCAGTTATACGTTCAACGCATATTTCTTTATCCTTCAACCACTTGGCTTCTTTTCCAAGTAATAACTAATATAAGAGTCACGATTACAACAATGCATTGTTTTTTAATTTACGTAAATATTAAAACACAATGTAACGTCGAATGATCTTAAACGTACATCTTTATACATCTGCTTAACATCTTGTTCGATTTGAGCAGTGCTTAATAACAATCGAAGGCAGTTTGCTGTGGTATATTTGCTCTCGGTCACGACCAACTGACGCAGACTACGCGAACGCTTCGAATCTTCCAATGTTATCGTAGGCGTAGCTGTGTGCAGAAGAATCCAATGTAACGTAACATTACATTCCCTCACTAATTTGACCAAAGAACCCGTGTCATTTTCGTCCAGTGTGCCTGCCAATTGTACTTCTTCGTTTTTGCGTATGAGTTTCTGAAATATTTTCTTTAATGAAGCAAGTTTTAAACGCTAAATCTATTTTGTCTTTTAATTTTATGTATCGTGATTTAATGTATCGAAAAATGTAAAAATTTTATCAAGAGAGAACTATCGTTATCCTGCCAGTATTGCAACAGTATTCACTACAACTATATAAAAGTTACTAAAGTTTTCTATTTTTTTTCTAATTAATATCTTTATTGTACGATTAATTTCAGATCGATGAAATCTTACTTACATCCAGTTTTGCTCCATACTTTTGCGCAATCCCTTTTACATTTGAATTTTCAAGTGTGTTATTCAATGCTGTTCGCGCAGCTTTATACGGTAACCACCAGTCGCACAGATTGATCACCGTTCCCATATAAATACTAATTACCCAATTATCGGGAAAGAATCTGTCCACTATTTCTCTCATGATAGCAGTTTGTGTGTGTAATACAGCCGACTTGAACGATAAAATTATAACTAGCATTGACGCTTGTGTAGCTACAGCAGTAGTGCGATGTTCTGGATGAGGAAATGCAAGTGTCTGATTGTAAATCTCATCCGAACGCAATCGACCGATAACAAGATCTATCAAAAAATCTCGCAGAGGTACTCTTCTGCAAAGAAATATATATTTTGTCGTTTTAGATATTTCGAATCAATTGTAAGAGATTGTTCTTTTCACATTACATTACATACTTGAAATATTCCTCGGGATAATTAGCCGGTCTCTTGGACAATGTTCTCATATATCCTGTTGAACGAAGCAACATACATACATCGTCCACTCTTGTTGAGGAAGATCGTTGTGCATTATACCGATAGTAAGATACAAGTAATCTTTCACGTATTCGTCCTTCAAAGTGATAATCAACCAATAATAGCATGACACCATATAAGTATACAGCTTCACACTGCAAAAAGATAAATTCTATACATATACACATAATCTTCTCAATATACTCTGACATATCATCAAATTATAAACAATATTCTGAAGAAAAAAAGAAAGTATACCATTAACTGTTTTCCCTCTTCGTTGAACATAATAGAATCTAATGACTGATGTATATAAACTCCATCTCCTAACTCATCAATATAAAAATTCAGATCAGTAACATACTTGTGTATACTTTCAAAAGCTAAGTAAAATCTGGCAAGTATGTCTGAAAAATTATTTCGAAGCTCTTCATCTGTCTCTTGGAGAGTCTGAAAAAAATATATGTAGTTCTATTATGTGTTTTATCTCTTATGTAAGTAGAGATAAAAAATTTTTAACATTTACCGGATCATCTTCTATTTTTTGCTCATAAGCACTAGCTGCTTTGAAATATGCAAAATCAATTATAATCGATCCATACTTCTGTATCAGCTGTTTTGAATCCAAGCTATAAGAAGTGTAAAGAAATAATTAATTAATCTTTTAAAAAGTGCAAAAAACATGTTTTATCACATACATATGGTAATAGAATCAAAAATATCAATAAATGTGTACATATTTACTGCAATACTATATACACATATGATTCAAAAAAAGTTGATTGTTGACAAACTGACCTAAAAACTGGCGGCACATAATCCTTTAAACGCATTAGTTCAGCTATAATAGCATTTCCACGAGATACCAGTTTCAATAAATTTTGTCCGCAAATATTATTAGTTGCCAAAAAATCGCCCATTTTTCAGAATAATAATTTTAATTATTATCCGCTAAAAAAAAATACATGTGTGTGTCTGTAATGTCCAGATATTTGACATTTGCCACAGACATCTGATTTCTTGAAGGGAGTGTTGATAATTCTGAGAAGTCCCTACGTTTCTGTATCGAAGTTGGCGATCCTTTTCAAACCATATTAAATACTAGCACTTCCACACATGTCACCTAGAACTATTTTCAATACATATAGCAGCCACCAGGCCGCCAGCAATGTTACAACAGTAATTTACGCTTTCATTGGTCAATAATACATTAATGAGCATGCTTATTGGTTTGTGGATGCCATTTTTTTTTAACACTCGAGAGTGCCTCTTTCTCTCTATCTCTCTCTCTCTCTGTGTGCTTGTGTGCGTGATGTGCTTGCAGTGCTCGAATATTGCAATATGTATTGCACACAGAGAGTTGTATACGTACGTACGCGTAAAAATTTTGTAAACGGCACAAAAATTATATAAAATGCTAAGTTTATTCGTACATTTTTACTTTTATGATGTTCTGAGAAAATAATTCCTGAATGTGGCAACAAAAACGAATGTAATTTTGATCAATTTTCTCTCATGTGTCGTCAAATTTCACAGCAGCGGTGAACTTTTCTTCTTGTAAAAAGGATTTTATGAATATTTTGAGATTACCCGTGAAGACTGATGCTTCGTTTAGAATTACCGATCAATATCGGTAAAGTAAGGTTTCTTGTATTAATTCAATAACACATCTTAGTGCAGCCCGGTTGCTTGTGCTAGAATGGAGGTAGGTTTCGAATATGAAAAAGATTAACAATCTGCATTAATAATTTGACAATTAATGTGGAAAATACAAAATTCACATGTTAAAATTATATCTAAGATTGTGAATATTAAAAACTAATTTAGTATTAGTATAAAACTTTCCAAATAGAGGACACTCCTGATATTTCTCTTGTGTCTGTAGACATTTTTGAAAATTACTTAAATAAAAATATGTTTATTTTTTGCAGCCACAAAGTACTAAAGTTCCTTTGCCACTAGAACCTATAAAGTCAAATCAAATTGAAGATAGACGCTTGTGGGTAGGCAATTTAGATTTAAGAATTAATGAGTAAGTATTTATATATATTTAATATTTTGTTTCTTAAATATAACAGATTTTCTTATATAACAAACAATATTTAAAACAAATCAAGAAACAAATGTTCAAGAATTATGATTTTAATTAAATAAAACTTGCTGTTATATAATTTTTGCTATAAAAATTTTCAAAAAAACTAACTCTTTTTTTCTCAACTGGTACCAACTCCTAAAACTCGTCCAAAAATACGGCACAATCGAAAAGTTCGATCTACTTTTTCATCGATCTGGGCCTCAAGCTGGTCAACCGAGAGGATATGCATTTGTTACCTATACAACTATCGAAGATGCCAAAACAGCAAAAGATGCTTTACACAACTTGAAAGTCGGAGCAAAGAATGTTATTGTTAGATGGGCACACAGTGTTACTGAGGTATTTAAGATGTTTAATATATTCTCATGTGTTATGCATTTAATTGCTCATTAAAAGTAAAATTTTTTTGTATAAATCTCTCTTATGCATTATGCAACACATTGTTATAAGAGCTTATATAATTTGTATTTGTTAAAAATATTTTATTTAGTCGGACATGGATAAGCCAAAGCCAAAAATAGATATTCCCGCCTTAGCTGGTGCAAAGAAAGAAGATAAAAAAATAAGGTAATAGCATTCTTCCAAATATGTAATAATTAGAAAGGAAGTTGTGGATACACTTTTTTTTATATGAACACAATTTGTCACAGTCGTGAAACAGCAATTCAAGCGATAGAAGCAAAACTCAAGCTAATGAAGGAATCAGAAGAGGAATTCGAGCTGAATAAACCATTAGAAGGATCGCCAATTATACATCTATATCAGAAAGCAGAAAATCAAAAACCGTCCACCTCCACGCGTTATCATAATCGTGGTAACTACCACCATTATAACAAACCATACAGTCGTCATAAACCGAGAAGATAATTTACTTATATAAGAAATTCTTTTTATATAATTTTTTATTTATTGAATACGATTCATTTTTTCTCGTATTTTTCTCTCTTTCATATTCACACATAAAATTTATATTTATAATAATTCTACATTTGTGCTTTGTGTTACACATTTTTATTCCGTATTAAAATTTTATTTGCAATATTTATATAAACAATTTGTATGTGATTACTACACTTTGTATGTAAGTAATTACATTGGTTTCTTTACAAAACAAGAAAATTGTTACTTCAAAATGTCAGCAATATAATATCGAATATATACATCAATGTGTGTATGTGTGTATTTTCATAAAACAGGAATCTTTTTTATAATAAATGTGCAAAGTATGTGTGACAACTGCATTGGAACAAGATACATAACATACAAATTACTTCCATTATCTTAGGTTTAGAAACATTTAATACATGTACAATTATAATACAAGAACTTTTAACTAAATAACTATGTCTATTCTTTATTCTGAAGTTGTTCAACTTTGTACTTGCCACGCATGTGATATGGCAAAGGCACTACACCGGGACACGGCACTTGTCCTGGTATGTGACATATACAATTCTTTTCACATCCTACTCCGAAATTTGCTGGATTCTGTTTTTGTTCTTTAGCTATAGCTTCTTTTATCAATGTCTCCTCTGATTTTCCAATTACTTTTACGAGATGTTCAAGAATTTCATCTTTAGACTTATTATCTGCATCTATCAACATTGTCCTTCCATCCTCTGTAAATATATATGTAAATATAAGTACAGAACTTTATATAATATTATTATCCTACTCATATTCAGTAAATGAACAGATATGATATAGTTGAAGTTTTAATTACCATAATAGCATTTTATGAATGGTGATGGTGTTAGATTTTTGAAGGTAACCACTTGTACAGTTGGATTTTTGTACTGTAACTGCGGTAAGTGCCAAAATACAAACTCTCTGTAAAAAAAAATTAAAGAGAAATCAAATTATATTGAGGCTTCAACACTTGGTTGATATAAATTTATAATCTATATCTAAACATAATCTGGAACTTTACCTTGTGCCTTTGTGATGCCTTCCATGCGAATTATAATTTATAGACAATATTTGTATCTTATCCTTCAGGACTAACCGACCGGAAGCTAAATACTGCACTGTGCGTCGCACAGGCTCTTTACCTATCATAAAAGGCATCTTGCGTGATTTTATTTATTGTTTATTCGTACACAGCGAATTTATGCTGTTGAAGACAGGTTACGAACCGTTACACCATCGTGAAATTAGAGAATAGCACTTTGCACTCAAAGTGAAATAGACATATGTAAATGACTGCGTTAAAGAAGGAAACAGAAGAGAGAAAGTGCAGCAAGCAAGTCACACATACCGGTTCTACCAACTGCTTGCCGATAATTTAGCTCATGCGATGTCGATACGTAAGCGATTTGTTTCTGCTCTTATACCGGCTCGATAAATTGCATGTGCTTTGATTTCTTTTTTTTTCCCTTTCTCCTTCTTACGTGTCCTTACGCGCCTTCGTTATCTATACCAATCGCGTGGGCCAGCTGTGTTTGTCCGTGTTTTGCCTGAGGGTGAGCTTTTCGATACTGTCATTCGTCTTTTTTATTTTATTGTATAAACTTGATATACTGATACAGAAATTGCGAATTATATCTGTAACTTGCAAAGTACAAGTGTTTTTTTCTTTCTATACATATATATATATATATTAATTAATTTTTCCTTTTTATCTGAATAAATCTGATGCAACCCTGAGACCATATGGCAAAACCAATATACAATTTGTAACGTTGTTGTAACTTCCAGAAGTGTTGAAAAATTCTGTGATATCAAAATGTCAACTAATATGAAGGCAAAAGAGATACGACAAGCTTACATTGACTTTTTCAAGAGTAAAGGTCACGAATATGTGCATTCAAGCTCCACAATACCTCACGATGATCCTACTTTGCTTTTCACAAATGCTGGAATGAATCAGGTATTGACACACATTCTTATACTAAATTTTTATTTATTTTATTATGTATTTTGTAAAATTCATTGATTTTGTTTTTTTTTTGTAAATTTGCATTTCAGTTTAAACCAATATTCTTAGGAACAGTGGACCCTAACAGTGATATGGCAAAATGGGTGCGTGTGGTGAATAGTCAGAAATGCATCAGAGCTGGTGGTAAGCACAATGATCTAGATGATGTTGGTAAAGACGTTTATCATCATACTTTCTTTGAAATGATGGGAAATTGGTCTTTTGGAGATTATTTTAAGGTGATTTTTGTCTTAACTGTGTGATAATTTGTTGTTTTAAATTTCTTTGTAATATTCTAAATATCAAAAAAAAATTATTGTATATCTGTTTAGAAAGAGATATGTACTTGGGCTTGGGAATTCTTAACAGATGTATTAAAACTATCATCTGATAGATTGTATGTGACATACTTTGGAGGTGATGAGAAGAATGGATTGGCTCCAGATATTGAGTGCAAAGAATTATGGCTTTCTTTAGGGTACTTTTTTTACTTATTTGATTTATAAATGTTTGATAAGAATTTATTTAATTTTTTATATAAATTGTTTTATATAATTGTTTAATTTGAATTTTATAATTTTTCAATATACATTCTTTTTAATTCTGTGTTTTCAAACTATAGTCTTCTGGATTCTTTTTACTTTATAATATCTGCAGAGTTCCTGCCTCGCATGTTTTGCCAGGAAATATGAAAGACAATTTTTGGGAAATGGGTGAAACTGGTCCTTGTGGACCATGCAGTGAACTACATTATGATCGTATTGGTGGTAGAGAGGCAGCTCATCTTGTAAACATGGATGATCCTGACGTATTGGAAATATGGAATCTTGTGTTCATTCAATACAATAGGTAGGTTTTATACATATAAAGAGAATATCCTCCCATTCGCTTTATTCCTACCAGAAAAAGCGTGTGCAAATAATCAGAATCGATTCTCTATCAATCTTATATTTATAATATTATACTTTATATTGTATTATATGTATTATATACATACTACAGTAATGTCACTGACCTCCGCCGCGCGACTTTGGCGGGGTCACTAACCTCGGCCGCGCGGCCTTGGCGGGGTCACTGACCTCGGCCGCGCGGCCTTGGCGGGGTCACTGACCTCAGCCGCGCGGCCTTGGCGGGGTCACTG